TAAAACATACTATACATAAATTTTTATTATACATCTTTAAATTTATGTTAAAGAAATAAAATAAAAAATTCATCATCTTGCACTCAATTTTTTTTAAACATAATTGAAGATTAATTTATTTCGCAAAAAATTAATTACCAAGACAGACTTTATCTTTTGCAACAATATCTTTAGGTTACATTAATATTCTCTAATGTTTGTTTAGCATTTATTTTTTGGATTTCTTTATTAAACCTAAAAGAGTTATACTTCTACGTTAAAAATCCCCATCCTCCTATTTATATGAAAAGAAAAAACACTGTAATTAAATTCAATTGATTAGTTACGATATGTACATTATGAATGTATAACATTAATTTGATATGGTTCATTTAATTTATTTATCTATTTTTTATTTTTTATTTTATAAGATTTATTGTATATTTTTTCTTAAAAGAAGTACAATTTGAATTTTCAAGAAAAGGTTGCGAAGAATAATTTTGACCAGTAAGTTTATTCAACAGATTGATGTTATTAATTTTTGCGCCTACGTTGAAAAATGAAAAATTTCAAGTTTATGACTAAACCTATAGTTACTGAGATTATCTGCTTGTTCTAAAAAGATTTCACAAGAATGACTGAGTAAATAACTAATGATAACCACAACATCATATTAAGTTATACAAGTAAAATAAATCAAAATATTAAACACATGTTTAAATTGTTTATAAAAAATGTGTTTAAATTAGCGTGTAGTTGAACTAAATAAATATATGCTTAAGCCGTTTAGTTAATTATATTCGTTATAAAATAATTATCACTTACACGTTAGTACATAACTTGTCTAACGAAAATAAGCTGTTAGTGTAAATATTGATGAGGATTTACATATGCCAATAATGCTTGCCCTGTTCATTTTTAAGGTCAAAATCAATTATTTAGATAATAGACGACAGGAACACACTTTATTCAGATTTTGTTGCAGAAATACATGTATATAATTTTTTAAAATATACTTTTATATATAAAGTAGTGAATAATCAGCAACAAAATTTAATATAAAACTGTAAAAAAAAATTATTTATGTTGAATAAGACACTACTCGATTATTTAAATAGAAAAAAGAATTTGAGTACCTTTTTAACATAAAAGATGGATACCCCTTCAATCAGATTAAAATAATTTTAATTAATATAAATTAAAATAAATATATCATTAATTATCTATTTAATCATAAGATTAGGGCTAAATTATAAAACTCATTAATTTAATATATTGCTTATAAAAAAAAGTAAAAAATTAATTTTTAAATAATAAATAGTATTTATTACCTTACGCTTGACTTTATTATCACTCTCCAGAGGGATAAGATATACCAGTAAAAAGAGATAATTAAAAATAATATATCCTTAATAAGAACTATTAATTATTTGATGAGTGTAATCTAACTTTCTGTTTGTGCTCCAAGTTGGTTTTTGTTAGTGTGCTTCTCTGGTTTTAAATATACGTACATTTCCTATAAAAATGATGCAGTTGGATTGAATATTTGCCATGTTTAGTTTTGAACGTAAAATAAAATGTCAGTGTCAAATGTTAGAGACTGTATGTTAAATAATTTACTTGATTCATTTGAATCAGTTACTGTTGATTTCGAGTACTGCACACTTAGAAAAGTAGGGAAAACTTTCTTGCCAATTTTGTATGAGATCGCACTGATCCCGTTGCTATCATTCAGTCTTGGGCTTCTTAGCTTCAGGTGACTTTGTTCATGTTTGACATGACCCAAGATCACAACACACATTGCAATGGAGTTTAGAGAGAGAGAGAGAGAGAGAGAGAGAGAGAGAGAGAAGCAATAATTGAGAAAGGGGAAAGACACACGCAAAAGAAAGGGCGTAAAATGTCAAAACAAAGCTTTTTAATGATTTTTGTGGTATAATAATTGATGGGTGGGTGATATATTCTTGAATTTTAGATGAGAGGGGAGAGTGGAGAGTGGAGAGGATTATCAGTATTGCAATTATTACGCGGCACAACTGTTCAATAGAAACAAAAAAGGGTTCAACCCATCACCATTTGCATACTTGCCTTTATGCATGCAACTCTCTATCAATCATCGTTTCAATCAGAAAATGAGCTATTAGAGACTCATTTGCTATGTTACAGAGAAGAAAAATACTTTCAAAATTTATACGATCATTTTAGAAAAACTCAAGTACCAACTGTATACTTTTTAAAACATTATATTCAACAATTAACATGTATAAATATATTGTTTCGAGATAGATGTATTTTAACTTGAATTCATAACTATTTTACGCACACTTTTTTGGTCTATGCAAAGATAAGAGTTTATTAATTTTTTTTAAAAATAACAGATAAATAAAAAAATCATTTTCTAAAATGACATATGAGAAATAGAAGAAGTATAAAATAAAGAACCTGTGATGCATATACTGGCCATCAATTCAGTATTTCACCCTCAAAATCAAGATATATGGATACCACCCAAATAATAAGGAAAAACCAATTTAATGATGCAGTTGACTACACTACAATTATTAGTGACAAGCTATTACATCAATCATACTTAATACAAATTTAAAAAGTTGATAAATATTTTTTTATTACAAATTCAATCACGGCGAGAGTGTATAATGTTAATATTATATTTATTTTTATTAATTTATAAACTAATTATAATACTCATCCGCCATTGGAAGGATAGGCGATTTAGGATGTTCAAAATTAATTTAACATTACTTCGTCTAATCATAATTTTTAAGTGTACTCCGGTTAAATAATTTATCATGTATCAAATCAAGTAATAGTATGCAATTGAAAACGTCAAAATGCTATACAATAATAGCTTACATAATTGAGAGATAATAATGACCCAAATTTATTGCTGGAGTTTTTATTATATGTTATTTTAATAGGCTTAAAATATATCTTTTTTATATTTTTATGAAGTTTTGACAATATTCTTTTTAAATTTATCACTTTTTATGTTTCTGATAATGTGATCTAAAAAATTATTGATAGGTGTATAATTCAAAAAATTAACATGTGATAATTTTTTTTTTATAAATAACGTTATTATTAGAGAGAAGAATTATTAAATTTTAAAATTATAATTAAAACTTTACTAAAACATAAGATCCTAAACATATTTAAGCTTTTTAAATATTATAAATAAGATGGGGCATGATGAATATTTAAGCAAGACAGAATTGAAAACTTCTTATGTTAGGAGTAGTACCTTAAAATTTTCTTTGTTATAGAATCTATACTTAAAGAAAAATCTATACTCTTCATTTATAGTCGAGTGTATCGACTTTTGCTTAAACTCTTTTATTTTTTTTTATCAAATTTAAGTGAAATATTTACACTATAACAGTCCCTTCAATGTACATGTGGTTCTAATTATTTTATATCTATAAGTGGAGATGAAAAATATATTTCTGGGGATAGGTATAGCTAGAGAGATGGACAGGGAGAAAGAGACTTGTGTAAATTATTGGAGAGACATGACCAGCAAGTTATGTAAAGTTTGTTGTTCATGTGCTCCAAATTGTTGCTTATACTCATCCCATTTGTGGCTGGCTTCTTATTATATGCTTATAAGTTATAATCACCACTCTTCCATGGCCAAACTATCAAATTATCTGGTTCTTTGATGTGTGACAATTGATCAATCATATACAAATCACAAACTTATGATATTTATTCACGAGGTTGTTAATTAATACTTATTGTTTTTTTCAATTTAAATGATCCAAATTTATTTATTGATTGGATTAAATCTTATTTAATATTTTTTATACAATAAGAAAGAAGTAAAGAAAAAGGAGCCAATATAATTTTTTGTCATATATATGTCAAAGAATTGCGAATTGGAAACTCGAAACCAAAATTATTTGAACATACTTGTTGCATAAGATAATGCCCAATTTTTTTTGCTCAGAAGATGTTCAAGTTTCATGAGAAACACCATCCCTCCCAAACATCTCAATATATTTTCAGATGATGGTATAGTAAGAGGAACTTGAATTGTTCATTTAATTGAAATTACACGTGAATATATACATGTACTTGATGAGGTTGCATGAAAATAACTATAGGAATAACAACCTAATAAATATTTTTTTTTATTTTTATTTTTATTTAATATTGATTTTCCTCCTTTAAATAATACTTATTGAAGAATTGATAAATGTGATTCTTTGCACCAACGATTAAAAGAAGCCAATTTTTTTTAAAAAAAGTGACAAAAACACTTAATTTTGAAGATGAGAGACGTTTTCTTGACTATTAAAAATGCTGAGTGATTAAAAAAGAGGTTAGATGAGTATTGACTGTATATAATTTATATTTTTACTAATATGTTTTTAATATAGTAAGTTTAATTAGTTATTCAATAATTTAATACCTTAATTAAATTAATAGTCGATCCAAAATTAAAAATAATGCTGAAAATGATTTGTTTTCATCTTTTAATTCCCAAAAAGATTTGATCATAAAGAATGAACATGTAATTATTATTTTTTATAACTATTAAATAAAAAGAGTTCGTGCAAGACAGAGGTATTCTAGATAGTTTTAAAAAAGAATAGTGTTATTCTCATTCATTTAGTTATTTTTTAATAATATATTTTTATTCCAAGTTTTTTCTTTATTTTTAGGACACTACAACTTTTTTAATCTCTTTTCATGTTATAAAAAGTATCGTGAAAAAAGAAATCAGTGAAAGTATATTTATTCTTTAAACAACTCATAGTTACAAGTTACATGACATTAACTTTTAAAGAATATTTTAAAAAAATAATAATACTAAAAAATTTATAAAAAACATTTATTATTATTTAACATAATAAACATGTTATTTTTAAAGATTAAAGTCAAGAAAATCATAAACTTTTATCTTGATTTGAATGAAAATTTAATTCAAAATAATAAAAATGATAAAAGGCAGAGAGTAAAAAAATATATCACTTGACTAACATGTTTTTTTGTTTTCGAAAAACCGTTCAGACGACAACGTTTTGGAGCAGGGCAACATGAGGGAATGAAAAACCCTTCTCTGAAATTTGAATCGTGAAGCAGAGAGCGTGAAGGTGAAGAGCGACAAAGCAAATCACTGAAGAGGCTATTGCTGCTTCTGAAATCTGTTATTCGCAGGTCAATGCGTTCATATATTTTGATTATTACCTGGTTTTAGAGATTTATTTGCCTTCGAAACAGAGGCTTTATGGGGTTTGTTCCCCAATTCGTTCCTGAATGTAGCATCGCTGATTTCTGAATGTTAAGTTTTCTTGAAGTTAATTCTAGTTGTTGATTTTCTATCTTTGAGTTAGAACTACTAGTAAGATATTTATTCAACAAGTGTGTTGGTTACTTGTGTTACGATCCCATGAAATTTGGAGTATGGATTTGTTAATTGTTTTAGTTTGTGTTATGAGTCTGAATCGTTTAGTTTGAATATGCGATTTCTTGTTCATTTTAGGGTTTGCAAAGTTGCAACTATTTTGCCTTCATTTCCTTGACACACGTTACACTTACGATTGCAGAAGATTGTAATTTATCTGTAGTTTCGTTTCAGCAATTGGCGAAATCGAAGGCGTTAACCATGTTTTGTTCATTGTTCCATTCAGTCACTTTGTGTTTCTCTGAAGCCTTTTTCCCCTTCTTTTAGGAATTAGGATCATATGGCTTTGCGAGGGGTTTGGCAACTTCAGAAGCTCATTGTCAGTTATTGTGACTGGGGTGGAAGTAGCAGAGGTATAAGGTACAACAAGTATTGTCCTATTATGTCGTCGATTTAATGTAACTTATGCTCATATTCATATTTATCCTATTGGGAGCAATGAAGTTGTTTTTTTAGGCATTTGGGTTTATAGATTTTTTCTGGGTTCCCACCTATGTTTGTGTGTTTTGTAAATTTATGACATTGCAGTTAATTTCTGAGGCTATGTTTGTGTGTTTTGAATTGATGGAGTGGAATAGTTAATAAATAATCTGGACATCACGATTCTTATATGATGATATGTAGTTCAATGAGTGGATACCTGAAATTCCTTCCTGGACTGACTTGAGATTTGATTACAGTGTTATGTAGTTACACGTCTAATAATAATAACAAGGCTTAAATCAGGCTTATGTTCTTTGGAAAAGATGTTTTCCCTATATTTCTTATTTTTCTATTTTCCATAAATTTTTTTCTACTAACAGCGGATTCTTACATTAGTTTTAAACATTTGATAGGGCATTTATGGAGTCGCATTTGCCAATGTTTAAGGAGAAGAATCCTCAATTAGAGTTGGTTACTGAGCTCATTCGTGGTCAGCATCCACATTTGAAGGGTTTTTATAGTAAGATTCTTGTACTACCTGTAACTTTTTAGCTACAAATTTTCCTTAGTTGTAATTGATGATTTTCTTATGCAATGTTGTATAAAGAAAATAAGAAAATTCAGCCCAATGTTGCATAAATGAGAATGTTATAATGGATTTGTGGATACAGAAGGCAAGATAGGATAATTAATGCATTAGCAAGATGTGGTAGCATTTGTCATTTTGTTGTTTTTAAAGGTTGTAGCATCATGCATTAGGTGGTTTTGACTTGGGTGGAAAAGACCTATAGAAGCTCCCAATAAGCAAAGTAGATTGGATGGAAGCTAGTCCAATAGTTAGAGGTATGGGAGATCAATAAAAAGTTATAGGGCAACATTGAGATGAATTTAGATTTAAATTTTGTCAACAGGACTAAGTGGCATTATTTGATTCATGTAGCCAATTGCAAGGGAAAAATGCTTTTGTTGTTGTGATTGATGATTCTCTTATGAAATGCAGAGAACACAAACCAGCGAGTGGTATGTGTGAAGAATATGGATCCAGAAGAAATACTTTTGCATGCAACCAGGCTAAGGAATGCATTGGGACGGAAGGTAGTGAAATTGAGGACAAGACATGTTACTAAACACCCTAGTGTGCAAGGTACTTGGACAACTGCTGTGAAATACTAACATGAAAGAACCAGGTGTACGAGAAAGTTTTCTATGATGTATTTCAAAGGATTTTCCTTCTCTTCTGGTATTTAATGAATTTGTGAACTAGTGAGTTTAAGTTCTCATCTTGTCCGGCAGAATTTTTATTTTCTAGGATAAACGTGATATTGGTTCCATTCAAAGCTCTGTTATGTTTTAGCGGAGGGAGTGTGCAATTGTCAAAGGAAGAAATATTTACTACGAAAAAAAAAAAAACTCTTGGAAGTCAAGATTTCCATGCTTGCTGACCCGAAAAACTAAACAAATAAGCTGTAAATAAATAAGCCTTCTGGAGGTTGAAATATTGTAGCTTATTCTGGTCTTTTAAGTGTGTTTGAACTTTGAATGAAGCGTTGACAAATTTGATTTGAAAAATCCTGATTTTGTAAAATTAATTTTTGTTAAAATTGTTTGAAGGAAAGTATTCATGTTAAATATGTTTTGACTACAAAGTAATCTTAACACAGCGAATGTCGTACGGGAAAAATGCTAATTGCAAAAACAACAATTTTTTGCTTCTGCCTGAACCCACGTTTAGGATCTTGATCATGAAAAATTTGTCAAACAAGATACGGAATTTCAAACTCGCTTTTTCAATCACAGACTTATCCAATGCATTGTGTGATTGAACTGAAATATTTGTATTTGGATACTTTGTATGTGCAAAGTGATTTTGGTATAATTGATTGTTTGGCATAAATTTCCCGAATTTAATGCAAAAGTAAATTAAAACCTCAAGATGGACAAAGTTGTGCATAATATTATATACTATAATGTAGACTATGCATTGATCACCAGAAGGCAGAAACTCTAAATCAGAAAAGTACGGGCATTAAGTTCTTATATATGTGAACAGATGGAACAACGTTATTAAACTATTTTGTATATCCAAATAGTTGCTTCACAGTGTACGGTCCCGTAATCATTGGTGGTCCATTCCATATTAACTCTGCTAATTGGCGGTTTGCTCTCTCAGTAGTATGGGCTCCATCAAACCACACATATTCAGCAGTGTTATGGCATACCTCAAAATTTTCTTTCCCACTGAATCCTCCTCCACACCCAAATGCTCCATATGCTCCATGACCACAGCAAGCTTCCTTGCCTTCCTTAAATCCTACACAACGTAGACAGCAATGTATTAAGAGTCTTGCTATTTAGTACCCTTGTATTAAAGAATTAATAATAATGTTTTCTGTTAATTGAAAATCACGTTTGAGTGTATTAGAAATCACAGTAAAAATACACTAACATTTTTTTTTAAATCTTTTTTTATTCTTTAAGCACTAGGGCAGTGGTTAGTATATATCCTAGAATAAATATAATGCACAAAGTGATGAAAGCTAGGAACTAGTCATAGTACCATATTTAGAAGGGTTGTTAACTTTGTCCAAAAGTGCACTATAGTAATCAAACATCGAATACTTGAATCCCGGTAATGTGCTCTCTAATTTCTTCAGTGCTACAGATAGAGCTTTGTTGTGTTGTCTTGCCATTGCTGATGCTACTTCATCACAGCTACCACCCACTTGAGGGTTCCTTTCTCTAGCAATTGGCACACAACCCAAAGGCCCAACGTTTTGAAATGCTATTTTTCTGCCTCCTAGAATATAAACTTCCTGCCATCAAATTGTAAAGAAAGAGTTTAATAGAACTAGAAAAATGGGAGACATGATTGCTGGGAACAAGCACACATTGTAGCATTGGTCTAGTTCTTTTTCAATTAAAATTATTTACCAACCTTCAGTGTATTGGTCAAGCTGCCAATCACCATCTTGACATATTGGGTTTGGTATGACTGAGTGACATTGAGGTTTTGGTTGAGAAGGCTGAAGTAATCATTGCCTCCCATACTAAACAAGTACACAGCATTGTTCAAAACTCTGTTGACCTTTTTATCACCTAGTTTTTGTCTTAGTGACTTCACTACAGCCTTGAAGTGGTTCAATTGTGTTGAAAGATTGATCTGGAAAGGGAAATGGTCATTTAGTGCTCTATTACTGGAAGTTATACCATAGGAGAACTGTTATACTGCAATTATTGTATATTGGCATCATTTATGAAATATGTAAGAAAAAAGTGGACATATTGTATTGTGTGTAGTGTACCCATCATCACTTACTGTTGTTACTGTTGAATCATTGTGAGCAAGGACTCCAGCTCCAGCTGATGCAAAATTAGTCCCATGTATGAATTGTTCGGCACCATGTTGCAAGTAAGGTGCAAGTATAGGCAAATTTGCAAATTGTGCTGCAATAGACTAAGCATTAGTGCCTACATAATTTCAGTTACTAATGAATTTAGATGTTACAATTTATTGAAACATCAAAATGGGGTGAACAACAAGGATAGACCTATGAAATCAGGGACTAGGCGTCCATCAGAGAACCTTCCAGTGGGATTCTTGAAGTAGGTTTCTCCATAAGGCCATCTAGTTGATGGCACTGTCATGCTACTGTTAAGGTATTGATTATTTCCTGGATCAAAAAGTGAATCCCCAAACACAAAGAGGGTCTTTTGGTTAGGCCCAGCAGCATTGCTATTTATTGTGTTGAGAAGGATTAGGATTGCACATAACACAAACCTCAGCCTTGCCATAATCTGCTATGTTCTTGCATATCTTCTGCTTGATTTTCTCCACCTTCATTTAAATCCCGGTTTGGATGAGTTATTTTATGCATTGTTTTAGTTGTTACCATCATTTTTTAAAGTAGATTTTTGTGAATTAAATTTTTTATTCTTGAATAACACAAGTATATTACACATTTATATATTATTATTTTATAAACATTATATCAATGAGTTATTTGTATTTAGATTGACAATGTATGAATTTTAATAAGTTTGTTTTTTTGGATGACATCATGGAATTTCGTACTTACTTTCAAAAGCCGATTTAACGCATCATATTGAGGTTGTAAGTTGCACGTATGCTAGAGTTTCGATTAACACGTAGGAACATCCACCATGTAAAATGGACACGTCGTTGGTGTTGCGTTGGGCGATTCACTTCCTTGCGTAAGATTAATAAATGAATTTGTTATAAATTTTAAATTAAATCAAAATAAAATATTAATATACTCTTAAAGTTACATAATTGTCATTTTTCCTTCAATGAAAGTTAATTTTAGGGTTGGATTTTCCTGTTCGAATCATAGCTTTTTCAAAAATTAAACCGCTCAATTTAATCGGTTGAACTGAAAATCAATTAGGCTACTGATTTAGATTAGAGAAATTTGTGGAATTAAAAACTAGTTAAATGAATTATAAATTGATTAAATTAGGTGAGAATCGGTGTAAATTTAAACCCATCTTTTAAAATAATTGATTTTGGTTTTTACAATTTTATTAAAAAATGTATTTTATTTAAACAAAGTTTCATGAAAGAAAATTTCATATATAAAATTTAAGAATGAATTATCATTTTTTAGTTTTTATTTTATTTACATTTTTATTTAAATTAGTTTTTTTTTCTATGTTGATTTATTAGTCAATATATAATATACTATAAAAAATATACATTTAATTATTAGTAGCAAATCGTAAGATAATATTTCCACTAATTCAATAACTCGTCTGAGTTAAAAAAAACAAGTTTTAATAGTTATGGCATTAACGATCCCAGTGTTGTTTCTAAGGGTATTGAACAGAATGCTGGGGTGAATATTGCCACTTGAATTATGTTATATCATCTTATAATATTTTCTTTTGCTATTATATCATCTTATAATTTTTAGTATTAAATAAAAGAAGTATCGAATAAAAAAGTATATTCAAATCTTAAAATATAAAATGTGTTAGATGTTTTTCAGTTAATATTAGGACAACTTGAGAATATTTTTCTTTGGGCCCAGTTTTAAATTGACACAATCCAGGCCCACAAACAGACATATCAAGTGTAAGAATTATTACGTTCTGTAAAAAAAAAAAAGAACAATTACGTTTACCGATTTTAGGCTGAATTAAGTAAAATAATCTCTTAACTTTTTGTTTTATTTACATTTTTAGAAAAAATTATTTTGATCCTTTAATTTATAAAATTATTTTTAAAAAATATTTTTTATAAAAATATTAACTCAAAAAAAATACTTTTTTTTTCTTATAAACTCAAGGTGAATATTTCAGCAAATTTTTTAATTGATTTTTTTTCTTTGTTCTTTTAACTTTTATTTACACTTTCACAATTTATTTTTCTTCTTCTTTGAACTCCAATAAAAATATTTTTTTCTTCCTTCTTTGACCTCTTGTTCATATTTCTTCACCCTTTTAAACTTTTTTTTTAATTTTCAGTTGCATCTAGAATTCATCGATTATATTAAGCATGAAGAGGCTTTAAAGAATGTTTAAAAATGAAAAAAATATATTATTTATCATTAAATTTTTCTACCTTCAATTTTTCTAAACAAGTTTTCGTTGCATCAATGCACTTTTTTTTAAAAATTAGTGCTTTGATTGATAAAATTTGAAACATTAATTTTGTATAAAAAGAGTTTATGTATCTATAAATGTTTTTGTTATGTCTCGTAGTGATATTAGTGTGAAGGTTGAAGTCATTAGAGTAATTAACTTCTCAAAAATAGTAAAGATATAGATGAGAAGAAAGAAAATAAGAAAAAAAATGAGACAAACAAACATTTTGCTGAAATATACCGTGTTTTATTAGAATTTACGAGGAGTGAAAAGATAAATAATAATTTTTTAAGAAAGTTAACATTTATTAAAAAAAGATTTTACAAATTATGGGATCGAAATAAAAAATATTTTTTTGACTTATTTAGCTTCATGTTATTTTATTTATGACATTCAAATTGAAAAATGTAACATCATAAATGTTCCATCTAAATGAGAATTAATAAAATAATAGAACATGGTACCACACAGACCATTGACAGCCTTAACAAATACATCTATAACCAGATTGCAAGAAATGGCAACAAGAGTTACAAACATAAGCTACTAATCTCTTTTTGTAAGGGTCTAAATATAGTTTATATTTGGAATAACTGCTTCATATTGTAAGGCCCAGTCACCTCTGGTGGACCACTCCATAAAAGGTTTGCCATTTGGAGATTTACCCTTTCCACTGGATGCTCCCCATCAAACCATACATATTCAGATGGCTTATCGCATAACTCATATTTCTTTGTTCCACAACCACTGCCTCTGAAGGGACCAACACCACAACATGCTCTCTTAACCTCCTTAAATCCTTTACCAAACACAATCACAACAATGGAAAAATCATTAATGACCTATACAAATGTTAATAAAATGGAATTAATTAACACCTTTGATTTGAATAGAACCTACCACATTTCACTGGGTTGATTACTATGTCGTAAAACGAAACATAATAATCAAAGAATGAGTATTTAAATCCTGATAGCTCTATCTCTAACTTCTTAAGAACTTCAGAGAAAGCTTGGTTGTGTTCTCTTGCCATTTCCAATAATTCTTCATTACAATCACCTCCACTCCTAGCCCTGATACTTGGTGCACACCCCAAAGGCCCTACATTTTGATATGCTATTTTTCTACCTCCAAGACTATATATAGCCTGTAATTAAATTTAAAAAGCATAGACACATCAAAATCCAAATATATTGTATTGTTGCATCATACCATACATTTTATATAATAAAGTCATTTTAGTAGTTCCTTTTACCTTTTAGAAATATATATACATAGAAAAAATAAAGAGTAAATGATAGATAAAAAGAACCATATTTAATATAATACATAGTGTTAACTTTTAGTTGTTTAAATAATAGAATTTGGAATAAGAAAGGATAAGGTTATTTTCTCACCTTGAACGCATCAGTGAGGTTGTAAACCACTTGATCAATGAATTCCCTTCCGCTTGATTTGGTAGCATTGGGATTTTGGTTTTGAAAACCAACGTAGTCATTGCCTCCAATACTGAACAAGTAAACAGATTTTTCCAGAACTCTCTTGGCTTCTATTTCACCTAGGTCATGTTCCAGTGACTTCGCTAATGCCTTGAAATAGCTCAGTTGTTTTGGAAGATTAACCTGAAAAGAACAAAGTACCCTTTACACAAATTGATGTCAAATCTCATTTTATAGATTGATTCCTTCATGTTTTAATGTCTTGTACGTTAGCATGACATTTACCAAATCTATGAATATCTTGAATGTCACTGTATTGTACATGCTTACGTGTTGGTTTTAATATTATGTTTAATTGTGAGAGACGCATGTTTGGTTTTGCGGCTCATTAATCATGCGTTCTTTTATCGCTATTAAGAGTAGTTTTTAGTCCTAAATAAGAAGTTTGAATTATTATTTTTCTTATGTATTTTTAATACAAAATTATCATTTTTAAATATTTAAATTAATTTTAAAGAGTAAGATTAACATTTTTATATATAAATAATTTTCTTATTTTTCTCATCCATTTTGTTCATGAAATTTGATATTCTTTCTGTGTTTTAGCCAATTTTTTCTTCTAATTTTATATTTAAGATAATTATTATTGCAAAATTTATTTTTTATTTTCTCTTTATTCATTTACCGTTGAATAAATTTTAAAATAAGTACACTAAAAAAATTATAATATATATTTTTTATAAAAACAAGATAATTATATATATATATATATATATATATATATTTAAAATTTTAAACCTATAATCTTAAACAACTAATTTTTTCAGAAAAAGAAAACGTATATGTTAAGGGGAGCACATACATTTGGATCTAAACCATCGGTAACAGCAGCTCCAGCCATAGCGAAGTTGGCGCCGTCCGTAAACGGAGTTGGGTGTGGCTGCAAATACGGCGAAATTAGAGGTAAACCTGCAAAAGTAGCTGCAACATACAAAGGCTATATCATCATTTGCAATTTGCAAACAAAGAGTTTATAAAGATTTTATCATCATAGGATTTATGTCCTACGTTGTCTTTAAATAGTAATTAATTAACAAAAATTAAAATTTACAAGAATTAGAATAAACAAAATCACCTATGAAATCAGGGACAACACGGCCATCTGAGAATCTTCCTGTGGGATGTTTGAAGAATGATTCTCCGTACGGCGGGTTACCTGCGGAAAAAATTTTGGTGAGACTGCTTTTGATATATTGGGTGTTTCCTGGGTCGAAGAGTGAATCCCCTAACACGAACAACCCTTTCTGTTCTTTCTCCACTTTGAATTCATCTTCAGCATCACACTTTCTGCTTAAGATGTTTATTGCTAATAACAATGCCAAACAACATGATCCAACAATGCTCGTTACCCTTCCCATTCTTTACAAACCCAACTCCTCTCTTCCTGTTCTTCAGCTGCTGGGTTCCTCCATTTATACAAACAATCCACACTTATAATTTTCATGCCAGCTACTTCTTTTTTAATTATTTTTTTTTTAATTTTTCTTACCACTTTTCTATTTATGCTTACAAGATATCTAATCTACGTGCAATATTATTCTGCCTTTTCTCTTAAGTATGAGATTTTTTGAAAGAGATTGTCATGATTTTTTTGATAAGATTCTTTCAAAGTTTTTGTTACATTGATTATTTTCTTAAGAAATAGAGGCAAAGAAATTAGTTATATAGAGAGAGTAAACCGTTAGTCTCAATAATCTTACAGTTTTGTTTATTTTAATTTTTATAGTTCATTTTAAATATTTAAAAATAATATTTTTAATAAAATATGAATTATTTATTATAATAGAGATATAAAATATAATAAATGCCTTATTTTTTATTATTAATTTTAAAAATGTAATTTAAATACGCTGACTGTGTAAAAGAATTTATTCAATCATAAATTGTCATATCAATACATTTTTTAATTTCTGTAATAATTAATATAAAAATTATATTTACAGTGTATTCTAGTTAGTTAACAATGTAAATAGATATTTATTTATTATTTATGTAAGTAGATATATTTATTAATTTATTATACGAGTGGATGATTGAATTGTTTATTATTATAATACATTTTTAATATATTATAAATTTATGATATATAACTTTGTTAATAAACTAATTATTTATTTTTCATAAAAAGGATGGGCGAGAGTACGTGCTTAGATATATTTTGACGAAACATTGAATAATTGAGGGTGAATGAAGAAGTAAGCATTAAGTAGAGGCAAGAGCTTATGAATTCCACGTCTCAAAGTTTGATTGAGTGCTAACACTTCTTGTTAATTTTTCTTCCCTGCTGGAGTGGAATGATGCAGATGTTGTAGCTACTTTCTTGCTCGTTAAATGTCCATTGATGTAACTAAAGATCACGTGAACCTGATATTTTCAGCTCTGCTGTTTGAAATTTTGGTAACTTATAATTAATTATCTTGCAATTATGACTCTATATATATATATATTTATGCTTCCTTTATCATTTTCGCAACTGTTGTAATTTTCGATTAAGAAAGGAAATGGTACGGTTCATATACAAACTAGGGATAACAATTAATGGCCCCATTTTCTCCGTTCTGTGCATGGATAATTCCGTTTTCCCATCATGAAGTTTTTTCGGATTTGGATTAATCTCTCCTTTTAATAGGTAACAGGGCATTTCGTGTTCCATTGTCTTTGAAAACCCATCCATGGTGTAGATTGTGACACACAGCGATGCAGAAATACGTGAAAAATTATCACAAATACTTGTCGTATTTATATTCGATGCAGATATACGTATATACTACACCTATACACATTTGTTCGTCAGCTTCAACCTTTGTCAAGAGCATTTTGAGAGTTGCAATAAGGCAAGTAAAAAGACCTAAACGCATTGTCACCCACTAACCACTTCTAAAAATATTATTACCATTTCGTCAACTCTTTTTCACATCAGTTCCAATTTCTTGTTTTTTAATTAGCCTGATAATTTTTTATCATAAAATATTCAATGACATATTTAATATAAAACTTAATACATGCTGTATATTCGTATTCTAATATTTTAAAAATCAACTTTCCCCTAATGTTGGCTTCATATTTTGCACAGCCATTGTTTTTGCTGTCACCTGTGACGCAGTGTTGGGTCTTGATCCATGTCGGTGTAGCCACTCAAACCTAGCCACCCTTCCTCCTCCACGTCGTGCACCAAAAGGATAGTACATTGTTTCTAAATAATTAAGGTGACTAATTAAACGGTTTGTTTATTTATGGAAAGATAACGTGTCACAGTATAATTCTAAATAACATTTTTTATTAAAAATATAATATTTAGTAACAATAATATATTTAATTGCATTAGTTTCTATAATTTATATTAAAAAATATTATCCATATTCTTATTATATACAATATTGTTAGTTTGAAAATTCATAATCTAAAACGAGAGTATTTCCATCCATCTTTTCAGCCACTTACTAGTCATGTGTACGTGTAAAAAGTGTGCACAAATAACAGTTGAATTTGTCTAGAAAATTGTGCAATAGTAAGTTAATAGAAAACCAAATAGATTCTAAAAATGTATCGGTGATACAAATTTAAAACTTCTTTAGGATATAAATTAGTAAAGCTATTTGATAAATATAAAATATTAAAAAAATAATTATAATTTTAAAATTTATTGAAAATTATTTTTATTTTTTAAAACTTGCTTATTAATAATTTATTTTTAAAACTTTAAACAATTCACTCACACAATAATTGTATAGTTAATTTTATGAGGTGTATATTGCCATTCTTATATATTTATTGTTGCTTTTCATGTAATTTTTTTTGCTTAAATAATCATGTAAGGACTTTTAAATAAAATATTTAGTGTGTTAAAATATATATATGTTGAAAAATCTATAATCGGGAATCGCAATTACATGCAAAAACTGCTTGCTGATTTAAGCCAATACGTATGGTATTAATCTTCTTTTTCTAATGTTCACAATGAAAAATGAGATGAGTCCATTTCGTTTGTGCGCTACAAAGGAGCACAATTATAAATTATGCGACTCGTGATTTTTTAATTGAAATTCATAACTACATTTTGATCATGATGAACAAAATTTTAAAATAGTTTTGTAAAAACTGTGGAGGATTTGGTTCCAGAGTCCCTTAGAGGTAGCTAGCTAGTTTGCCAAGTTTTTATCATCGTAGATTTTTCATTTCTTTTGAATTTCACTCCCAACTGTGTGTATATGTTATTCGTTTTATAAGGGAAAAATTCACTAGCATATATCAATAAATTTGTCTGGGAATTAAGTATGTAATGTCTCAATTACTAGTAATTTCACAATATCAGCCTAATCCTAATCATATATAGATATATTATAATACATTCCTTACTTATGCATTTCACGAAACTAAATTCATGATATTTAACATTACTAAAGAGAACGTGTGATGTCGTGGATTTCACTTCACAATCTAAGTATTGTGTAGTTTTACTTCTCGACACATTTCATGTCCTATTCATTGTTATGAAAATAAGAAAAAGTCTTATCCATTGTTATTCATTTTGTTTTGTTCGATCACATGCGAGCAGACTTTTTTTCTTTTTTCATTAGACGGGGTTGTATAATTCAAAGGCAAAATAATAAATAAATGCCAATTTTTTTAGGTATAACAATAGAGGGATTTCCCTGTTGAACTGGAAATATTTATTGTCATTCTAATATGTTTATCTTTAGATTTATTTGATGATTTGATCTAAATCAAAGTGGGAGGGGTTGTCCACCCAACCAATCCAAGATCCATTGAACAATGCATGAGTCAATTCTATAGTATATAGACAATAGTGTGTACAATAAATTATATAACAAAAAAAATATTGGATAAAATTGTCGAAACAATAAAGAGAAATAAAAAAGATAAAAATGTTATAGAAAGCATTGTATAAATTTATTTATTGAATCAATTAGTAAATTGGAACACAAATCAACAATCAAAACAATTAATAAAATAAAAATAACAAAACAATGAAGTAAATCACGCATGACATGTGTTAAAATAGATTAAACGCCTCTAAAAGAAAAAAAATGTATAAAATGAGAGAGTAAAGTTCTATCCACCTTTCAATTTAAATTGAAGTATTTTATAAATATAATTAAGTGGATAAAACTTTACTCTATCAATTTACCTATTTTTTTACTTTAGATAAGTTAAATCTTTATTATTATTAAGTAGGTAGAACATTCAAAAATCGAAAAGCTGTTTTAAATTATAAGGCCTTGTGACAGTGGGACTTCCATTCCAAATCAACTGGGCGAAATGCTGACTAGCTCTATCAGTAGGATGAAGAGAGTCGAAGAACAAATACTCATTCACATTGTCACACAACTCATATTCTTTTATCCCTCTCTTCCCTCCACAGCTATCATCTCCTCTATATGCTCCACCTCCACAACATCCCGCAGTCACTTCTTTGAAGCCTTTCCCATCAAATTGATTAAAGACAAAGAATTAACAATAATTACAATTAATATTCATATGATAAAAAATCATAATATAAATAGCCCTTTGAGAATTCATTACCATATTTTGAAGGATAATTCATGACTTGAGAAACTGCACTGTAGAAATCGTTGATGGAATACTTGAACCCTTTAAGCTGTTTCTCTAGCTTTTGAAGCATTTTTGAGAGTTTATAGTTGTGTAGTCTTGCGATTGCTGAAACTTCTTCGTAGCATGGACCTGTGCTTCCATTATTGATAAAATACCTTATGCCTGGGGAACAGCCCGCTGGACCCATATTGACAAACCCAAATTTCTTTCCACCTAGGTTATAAATTTCCTATAATTATATTATATATATTAAGGTTAGAACTATTAATGCATGATAAACTCAAGATAATAAAATAGAGGCAAATATAAAAGACACTATTTTAAAAATTTAAAATAATTTTTTTTATTCAAAAATGAGATAAATACACTTCCTTTCATAATTTTTTAAAATAAAAGGAAAGTTTTCAACAATTAATTAAAAAAATTTGTCATACCTTGATAACTTCTGTGATGTTTCCCATTACGTTATCCACAAATTGTTGATCATCACCAGGACGTCGATGCACACCGGACTCTGGGTCCAGAAGATAACCATAGTCATCGGCTCCAATGCTAAACAAGTAAACAGATTTGGATAGCAATTCCTCGGCTTCTGCATCTCCCAGTCTCTTCCTCAATAAAGTCTTTATATTTCTAAAATAACTCGCCTGAGTTTTGAGGTCTATCACCTACGAGTAAAGGACAATAAAAACTCAGAGCATAGAATAGTAAATAACATTTATGAATATACCCAACAAAAAAAATCATTTATGCATGTATATAAATAAGACAAAGTTTTATATAAAGTGTAGTAAAACTTTTATACAAGAGTTTTTTTTTGTTGGGGGGTCCTTTTCGATGTTGGAGTGTAATTATATAACTGATTCTACCTTTAAAATGGTGTTTTCACTTTTCAGTGGTGAAACCGAAAGCGAATAATCAAATGCAAAATCCTGTCGTCAACATTTTTCAATTCTGCAAATTAAGCTAAGCTATAAACCTCATTATATTGAACTTACAAAACGTCATTTTACTATATCACAATCAATCCCATTAGTAAATTCTCATCTGTTTAATTATGCATGGCGTCAAACATTACATGCGGTTGAAACAAAGGCCGGCAAGAGTGAATACAACAGGGACAATTAGTTAAAGCACAGAAGGAAAAAAAAAAAGAGTTTAGTCATAGTGAGAAATAATTTTTAATCATTTGATTTTAAATTAAAAGTTTTGGTTGGCTAAAATTTACGTAAGATAAAAGATAACTATGCTGATAAAAAAATTTATATAATTTTATCACACTGAAAATGTTGCAAAGCAAAATTACATAGTCATTTGTATCATGACATGCATGTTAGACATGTCATACACACGCACAAAAGAAATAATGAAAACGAGACGACACCCCGAAATAAAAATATATCAAATTAGCATCAGGGAAGCTTAATTAATTCAATAGCTTGTTGAAAAAAAATATATGATCAAGAAAAATTTTGTAACTATATACATTGTGTTTTTTAATTTAACTTTTTTAAGCGAAGAGATTTTTAAGCAAGAATGTAAAAATTTTATTATTGATTTAAAAATAAGAATTAAAATGGATAGTTTTTACATTGTTATCTGATCATCAATTAATATATAATAAAAATCATTACTTTTTATGATGATTATTTTAAAATTATATCAATAGTACATTTTAATTAATTACTAATATGCAAATTTTTAATACTAAAAGTAAATAAAGTTTAAAATTATTAAAGTCAAATATAAAAAGAAATTTCATATTGAATGAAAATGTTAAACTTAACTAACCTATAAGTGAATCTTCAAGTTTTGAGTTGGATGTAATATTCAAATTTATTTAATAATTTATTGTAATCTATTGATAAAAGACATTTTTAGTGTTTTAACCTCTTCATATGCCCTAACAAAATCTAATCCCATTTATAAGATATTTTAATTGAAACTATATACAAATCCTTATTTTCTGTAAAAATTATAAATGTTTTTATGGTAATATAAGATGGCTTACGTATCCTTTATTAGATTCACGCAGAGCACCAGCCCCAGCCGACGCAAAATTGACACCATAGATATATTCAGGGTTACCAGGATGCAGGTATGGAGGAGGTAGAGGCAAACCGGCAAGCTCAGCTGAAAAAACAATGAGTAAACTGATTTAATATACGTTAAAAAATTATAAACATAGATTAATTTAATAAAAACATATAATTAATAGGATTAAAATAGACATAAATTTAAACACAGCATTGTTTTTAACATTCAGCAGAAAATACATTAAATCATACCAACGTGATCTTGTATCATGCGTCCATCAGAAAACCTGCCACTGGCATACTTGAAGAAAGTTTCTCCATAGGGAGGAAAGTTTGCTTGATAACCGGTAGTGGTATTAATGTAATTGTTGTTTCCGTTATCAAATAGGGAATCTCCAAATATGAATAGGGCAGCATGTTTCTTTGGTAAGCATGTCATCATGGTGCCATGAGAATGGGTGATTTGGATAATTATACCCAAAGAGAACACCAAGAAATACATTAAACTTGCCATGCTCGTTACTTGGTCCTATACTTCTGAGCTTCACTTGTGTATCACTTGTGGCTTGTTGAATGTTATTGTCCAGTTATATATAAGCATTGAGGAGAAACGTTGTTGTATTGAAAATCCAAACAATTAAAGGCAAAAACAAAACAAAATTCAACGTTGAATATATCTTTTGGTAGGCTCTGCAGCACCCCACGTTACCAGAATTCTTTCACCTGCAGAAATAAGATAAAGAAATAAAATACTGGGTAAGACCATCTAAAGCAAAATATTAAGTTGGACAGACTGACTTGAAAACTGAAGGAAAATTTAGAATTTGTCAACGGGGGATTGAATATAGTTTTTGCTTTTATATTATTACAGAAAAAAAATGAAAAAATAGTCATAAAAATAATAAGCTAAATACAGATATTAACATGATTTAATTAATGTAACAGAAAAGTTATCTTTTTAACTTTTAAATATGTACATATTAACTCATAATTTATTCTGAAAACTCATTACTCTCTATTATAGCTCATTAAAAAATAATTATTTAAAAAAAAGATTGTGAACAAATTCAAAGTATTTAAATATATATTTTTACAAAATTTTTATTTTTTAAGATTTATATTTTTATTTTCTTATACAGCTCAATAAAAAATTATTGGCTACATTATTGACGGAATTGAAGTCTTTATAAACTTCAAACTAGAACCACTTATTTCTAACGCAAGAATTATGTCTTATATCGTACTTTCACTAGCTGCAAGAGTATTATTAGCAATTTGATTTTACAAAAAAAAAAAAAAAATCAAATTTCTATTATAATTTAAAGGCTCAAAACCTTCTTAACTCCGCATTAAAATTTAATAGGTCAAAAATGCTGTCTTTGAAAAAATTTAAAAATGATTTTGTTTAAATTTGTGTGGGAGATTACCTCGTACTTCTATGAATTATTTATTACTACGAATAGAACCTGGCGTGCTCTAATTTGCATGTGTAGCCGTCGTTTAGAAAGCGATAGATCTTAATTAATTGCACTTTAACTTTATTCATATCATTTATAAATTAAAACTATAGTTTTAAGATTTACCATTGTCTTTTTATATTACCACCAATTCAACTAACAACTTTTCCTTTAATTCTACTCATACTTTAAACTATTCCTATGGAACGTGTCGTGATCTAGAGGCAGACCTTTTTGACTAAAACTTGCCAAAACTAGGTGCTTTAAAATCGATCACACGTCTATGGTTTCTTCTTCTTCTTTGCATCCATTGTTTTGCTATAATTTTTTTAGCTTTTAAGAATAAACAATAAACAATCTGAGAAGGTTCAATTGAAATTTCTAAACTTTTAAATTTATTCAAATATTTTAATTTTGTAAAAAAAATTATTGTGATAATTTATGTAATTATATGCATTTGGGGTATAAAATTAATTGAATAAAAATATTTAATTACTGTGAAAAATAATATTAACTATATTTTATTTCAATTTTTAAAATTAAAAATAAATGTGTATTTTTATGTAATCACATATTAACTTTTAGTCTTAACTATTCATGTATAATTGCATAGTTAAGGGTTCTTTTGTTAAATACAGCAAAAAAATTATTATTTTCACATTCTTAAAATAAAAATTGTTTTAATTATATATGTTTCCTGTGTATAATTATTTATTTAATTATTACAAATTATATTTGACCGTTTAAAATTAATCAATTATTTAAAGTAAAATGTATCAAAAAAATATTTAAAGTAAAAAATTACATTATACATTTATTTTTTTACTTTATTTAATAGAAAAACAGATTTATTACTAATAATTATAATATTTACACTTTTTAAAATTTATTGAATTTAAGGTTTTATATAATATATTTTTATAAAATTTATTTAGTTTAATAATACATGTGCAATGTAAAAAAAAAATATTAGTTTGTAATTTAAAAATATACTTGCAACATTGTAACTTATATATATATAATACACCCTTAATCAAAATTTTCAAAATTCATAGCGACCTTGTGTTTGTCGTCGATCACTTTACTTTGGTTTACCATTTTACATTGAGTTCGATTCTTCTTTCTTTTTACAATTAAGTAAAAGTAAAAGGAGAAAAAGCGAAATGTAAGGTTAAAAAAAAAACATGATCTACTGCAATCTTCTTAAGCTTATTACCTATATGGTCACTTTTATAAATTGGGTTCAACATATGTTGCGCAATTCAATAAACACATACTTGCTTACTTAGCATTCCATGCATGTTTATTATAAGGGATCAAGGAGATGAATTATGCATATAATTATAGTAACCCCAAAATCTTTGATAATTATGTGACGTTGATATAACACAGTTTTGTTCTCTTTTCAGGACACTGTATCACTCACACCAATCATTATGTAACTAAAAATTCACGCTTGATGGGGTGTTTAATCTAATTCATGTCATTATTCTATTGATACAAACACTAAGTTGAGTAATGGAGAGCCTTACAGGAATACAATAACATTCTCTAAACCGCATTGGACTAGTCATCTTTTAGATCAGCAAAATATTCCAGATTACAATGAGTTGCGTCTGTTTGAATTTACAACATGATTTTACTTCAAAGAGAAACAACTTTTGCATTTCGACATAGATCATATCTTCACTTCTTTATATTTATATGATAGTTTCTGTTCAAACGTCGAACATCAGTTTTCGATTGGATGGTTTAATGACATCTCTGATTTCACTCCACATTAGCTTAGCGAAATGCTCAGCAGCACGCTCCGTTGGATGAAGAGAATCAAAGAACACATGCTCGTTAACATTGCTGCATAGTTCATATTCTTCAATGCCCCTTTTCCCACCGCAACTATAGTCTCCTCTGTAGAGACCACCCCCACAACAAGCAGCATTCGCTTCTTTGAAACCTTACCAACAAAAAAAATAAAACAGTCGTTACATTTCAAAATAAAATAATAATGAACTTTTCCTTTTATTTTAAAAAAATATTAACTTAAGTCCTTATGTTTGATTTTGAATATCCAAATATTATAATTTTTTATTATAAATAAAATATTTATTGTAGTTTTATATTTAATATTATAAATACTTTTTTAAAATAAAAACTTATCATATTTAAATATCAATGTTAACAAATATATATATATATATATATATATATATATATATATATTAAGGGTGTATACCATATTTTGAAGGGTTCCTCATTAATTCAATATTTAAATATTATAAATACTATAAATACTTTTTTAAAATAAAAACTTATCATATAAATACTTATCATATATTATAAATACTATAAATAGTTTTATATTTAATATTATAAATACTTTTTTAAAATAAAAACTTATCATATTTAAATATCAATGTTAACAAAATTATATATATATATATATTAAGGGTGTATACCATATTTTGAAGGGTTCCTCATTAATTCAACAAGTGTTCCATAGAAATCGGTAATAGAGTATCTAAATCCCTTTAATTGTTTTTGTAGTTTGTGAAGTATTTTTGGAAGAGCATTATTGTGTAGCCTTGCAAGTGCCGAAGCTTCTTCTTCAAGACATGCATCTATTGAAGTTCCATTTACAGATCTCCTTAAAAGAGGAAGGCAATTCCCTGGAGCTACATTTAAAAACCAAAAATTTCTTCCGCCTTCATTGTAAATTGCCTGAGTAAAAATATCATTTGTTAAAATTACTAACAGCACTGAGAGAAAAAAGAATAATTATTAAAAAGTTAAAGTTAGTGCAATTGTGAGGCCAAATTAGAGTTCAAAGATACTTTGATTGCTGTTGTTATATTGCCAATCACGAAGTCTACAAAATTTTGTTGAGAGTATGGAATAGCCACAGGGGTAGTGGAGTTTGTGTAGTAAGGGGCTGAATAGTCATTCCCTCCAATTGAAACTATGTAGATAGCTCTAGACAGCAGTTTCTTGGCTTCCTCTTCTCCTAGTTTCTGCCTGAATTGCTTGCTAACTTTAGCGAAGTATAGAGCCTGAGATTTCTGGTCAATCACCTAAAGGAGTATGAAATTTTACATACATGAGAACCAAGTTAGAACTTAGTGTAATAAAAACAATTAATTATGATTTACAATAAATAAAAAAATACTTTATTTGAATAATTATTAAGATAAATTAATTTTAATTTATCTTATTATAATATGAAAGTTCATGATAGATCGTACATCTCATAAAATAAGAAAAACACGTAATTTCATGACAATAGAAAGTATAGTGTAATTTTATAAAAAAAAATAACCAAAAAAATATCTTAAATTTAATGTTTAAATGTCAATTGCATGCAATTGGGCATTTGATATAAATAATTTTTTTATTTATATTTACATGGATGCTCTTTATTCTTTCTTTATGAATTTCAGTAAATTTATTTTCTTGCTCCATAAACAGGCCATTAAATTTAGGCGCCGTATCCCCCAACAACAAAAACTCTAACGCTTCTTTAAATAAGAATTAAGAATCACATTTAAAGATTATCTTCTCTTTGTACCATGTGTTTGATTGTTAATTGAAATTAGATATATGTGCGTCTTAAATTCAAAAGTTACTTTCAATAACTTTAAGATTATACACGTCCAATGTTTAAGAACTCAGAACCAGACATGCTGATAATTAAGTACATGTTTAAGTTTTTAGAATTACGTACCTTAAATAGATTTAAACCTACTCTACAATGGGTATTTTTCAAAAAGTAGGAAAAGGAAGTTTACCAAGCCTTGATTAGTTTCTGGCAGCGCCCCAGCTCCCGCAGATGCAAAATTGACACCATAAATGTAGTGATCATGGTATCCAGGATGCAAGTATGGCGGAATTAGTGGCAACTCAGCATATTCAGCTACAAACATGCACTCAGAAAATCAAATCATCACAATTTAATCTAAAGCTTTCCTTTATTTGATAAAATCAAATAAAATGTTACTGCCAGTTCTACACTGAAGAAATATGTCAGTTCTACATATCTCCTAATCATCACAATTTGAAAACTTGCATCACTTAAGATAATTAAACATACAATTCTACATGATCAAATTTGTAGTAAAGATTCACAAATATTGTATTTTATGAGAAATTATTAAGCGATGTAAGTGTTTAAATTTGATACTTAAAGTCAACAAATCTTTGCTACAGTTCAAGTATTTGGCAATAAATAAAACACATACCAATGAAATCAGGGATTACACGTCCATTAGAAAACCTTCCTGAGGGATACTTAAAGAAATTTTCTCCATACGGGGGAAAGTTGGCTTGGAAAAAAGTAGTGGCATTGATGTAGTCATTGTTTCCAGGATCAAACAGTGAGTCTCCAAATATGAATAGGGGTCTGTGGTTTTCTGGCAGACAGGTGTTGCTGATTTGGGCATCCAAGTGATCAATGTTGAGAATAAATGAGCTCATGAAAAGAACCCACACACACACCGAGACCCTTAAACTTGCCATGTTAGAAATTCACTCTTCCCATGCACAATCAAGTATTCTGTTGCCAATCCTTATATAAACCTTGTTGGTATGGACTGGAACTTTCTCCTTCTCTCCCTCTTTTTATTCAGATTCTAATAAATCGTTGTAAAAGTAAACTTTTATGGTCGACATTAAGGACTATGGTACAATAGTAAAGAATTATTGAATATATTTTATTGATTCAGTATTTCTAATTATTTAAAGCCATACTTTTTAAATATTTTATAGTTTTAATTTATATAATAAATATATTTTTTAATATACTATTATAAATCTAATTTCGAATCCTGCCACATGTTATTTAAATATATGTTTCTTCATTCGTTGGATGATTTTTTTGCATTAAAGGAATGGCATGGATATGGCTTCAAGCTTCAGCCGTTGATGGCTGCCATTTTGTTTTCCAGCTCATACTTTTTGCTTTTGTTACTATATTTGTATCTACATTGAAATTAGAAAATTCACTTTTATTGCCCTGGGTCTGTTCAAATGTGAGTTCTTCAAAATTCAAATCAAATTTTGATTTTTGCTTTATAGCACTTACCATATGCAATGTATTATCCATAGTCTAGTAAAACATTCTGGTCGGTGTCTTTAATGATGACAATGGTGCGCTGAGTTTGGTATGACTATATGATAGAAAGAAGCGTGTGACCTAAGAATATTTTGAAAACTCTATCATATAGTCATATAATATTAAATTATAACAATGTTTTACAATTAAAATTTATTATTTTGGCAAAAATTTATAATTATTAAAAATTAAAATTATATAAAATGATTTAAATATTTTTTATAAAAATATTATCTATGAAAAAATGTACATATAATATTTCTAATAAAAAATATTAAATTATTTTTTATAAAATATTTAAAAATATATAAATGACGACTAAGAAGGTAGTAAAAAAAAAAATTGTCCTCCCTAACTTGTCATTCTCTTCAAAGTAAAAATTTAATTATAAAATATAATAAAATAACTAAACAGCAATTAAACAAATACTGAAAATAAATTAAAATAGAATAAATTATCCTGCCTTTCTTCTTATCCAAACTCTAAATGGGCCTAATAATTCAAGCACGCAAACAAAGCCCAATAAACCCATTATCCAAGCAAACTGACAAATCAGTTTCACTTTCAATGTATAATAAAGATCACCAAGTAGAACATCGAAAATAGTCACGAATCATACAAGGGACGAAAGAAAAATTATAACTTTTAGAACCCCACACTCTGATTCATGTTTTTATCCAATTTTAAAAACAGGGGAGGATTCAGAAAGCAATAAAAATCCACCAAACGGTAACCCAGTGGAGAAATTGAAGGAAATACACAACACAGAAGCACGAAACAGATACACCCCATCTGTGTACTGTTCCCTGTAACAACGAAAACAAGAATATGATGACGATTTTAAAGTAGCAGCATAAAATAAACAAAATAATTGTACACTGAGTTACGGAGAGACAAGACATAGACGAGACCTTAAATCGAACAGAGAACAGTGTATAACAGTAACAATAATCGATAAAATCGAAGGAGGGGATTGTAAAATTTAAAAATTGAGAAACTTAAGTCGAAGGAATTAAAATAAGCAATTAAATCAAATTATTATTATATAAAAAATGTGTACATGGAGTTAATGTATCGTTATATTTTCTTATTTCCGTCGGACAATGTTTAGATACCATGCGTGATTTGACCATTGAAATGTTCTGATTCACTAATTTAGCAGCTATTTATATAATAACTTTTAGTCATCTACATAACTGCGCATAAAATTACAAACACATATAAGATAAAAAGTTTAATGATTTTTCATTCTACGGGATGAAGGGAATTGTCTTCAATTGTAGTGAAACAACTGTTTCACATTGCAAGATTCAATGACATTTCTGTTTCCACTCCACATTAGCTTAGCTAAATGCTCAGCAGCACTCATCGTGGGATGAAGAGAATCAAAGAACACATACTCACTAACATTGTTGCATAGCTCATATTCTTCAATCCCCCTTTTCCCTCCGCAACTATAATCTCCTCTGTAAGCACCACCTCCACAGCAAGCCACATTCCCCTCTTCGAAACCTTACCAACAAAAACAAATTACAAAGTAATACTCATCATTATTCAAAAAGGATTATATATATTTACAGTTGAAGGTCATATACCATATTTTGAAGGGTTCTTCATTAATTCAACAAGTGTTCCATAGAAATCGGTAACTGAGTATCTAAATCCCTTTAGTTGTTTCTCTAGCTTGTGAAGTATTTTGGGAAGAGCATTATTGTGTAGCCTTGCAATTGCTGAAGCTGCTTCTTCTAGGCAGGCACTTATGGTTGTTCTATTTACGAGCATTCTTAGAAGAGGAAAGCAATTTAAAGGACCAATATTAACAAACCCAAATTTTCTTCCACCTTCATTGTAAATTTCCTGTGGTAAAATAGCAATATTGCAAATTAAATACCAACAATTGAACCAATAAATAAATAAAAGTTGAGCCAATTAGGAGAGGTATAAGGTTAAAATCTTAGCCTATATACTTTGATTGCTTCTGTAATGTTGCCAATCACAAAATCTACAAATTGTTGTTGAGGGTATGGAAGAACCACACCATTAGCTGATTTTGTAAGGAATGGGGTGCCATAGTCATTGCCTCCTATGCTAAATATGTAGACAGCTTTGGACAGCAATGTTTTGGCTTCCACATCCCCTAAGATCTTCCTGAATTGCTTGCTAACTTGAGCAAAGTATTTTGCCTGAGTTTTTAAGTCTATCACCTAAAAGTGAAATAGGAAAAACTCACATATTATCCGATAAAATTACAAAGTGGTATAAAAAATTAATACAAAATATATTTACAAATATCACTTTTAAATAAGAATATAATATATAGTTTCAAGAAATGCCATAAAAATATACTTTTGGTCACTTAATCATATATAGATGGGTTTTTTATTCAACTTAGCTGAATAAATTTCTAGTCCTATCCTAACTTAGCCATTCACTTAATCATATTCTTTCTGTTAAATGTATAGTCATGATAACTTAAATATATTGCGGACACGTTACCGTTGTTTACTTTTTCTTTTCTTTTTTTAAAAACTCTCAAATTATTAAATACTTTTAAAATTACTTTTTTCAGGTTAACTTCTCCTCTGCTTTATTCTTAATTGTTCATCTTAATAATGAATACTTATTTTTGGATTTCTATTTACGTTAAATTTTCATTTTCTCAAATTTATTAGTTATTTCCCTATATCACACTTGTTTCACTTTTTATATTAAATTAGAATATATTAATTATCGTAAGAGTGATTTAGTTTTAGTTTATTCTCCTTTAAAAAATGGCACGTGTCATTATTAAAATTCTTTAAATTAATTATATATCTTCTTTATAATATATTTTGAATTTTAATATATTTTTTTAAAATTTACTTAAACTTAACATACAAAGTATTTTTATTTGTTTTTTGTTCAATAAAGCATGTGACGGGCCAAGAGGCAACGTATGACCCAACTTAACCAATCCATCCACAACTCCATTAACTTACACTATAAAAAGAAACATTTAATTTACTTTTGCTCATATTCTTGGTAACATAACATAGTCATGTTAAATAAAAAAAAAAGACACATTGTTATCAAATTTAATTAGTGAGTCATTTAATTAATCATGATAATTTCTTGTTTAATAAATTATATTTGTTCTCTTGAATATGATGATATCATGTTAAGTAATAAACCAAGAAGATCCAGATCCAGAAAACAAAAAACTATTCATTGTTCCCACAGCCAACCAAGACCTATTATTTTTGTTGGTCCAAAGTTTAAAATTCACAACAACAAACCCATCCATAAAATTATATCCTGAGTGGATGATAGGAATGTTATCCATTTTTGTTTTGTTTAACTTTTTTAATAATTCTAAATCTACCTATTTTTCACAATAACCTTCTTACTTATTAGATAGAAAAGTATTAATACTTTTCATATTTTTAAGGTATTAAGTACATTTATTTTCTCATTTAATACTTTGTTTATATAATTCTAGAAATATTAGGTAGATGATTTGTGGAGGATAAAACATTACTCTAATTTTTATAAAATTAAAATATGATATTGACCTTTTCAAAAAAGAGGTTGATATAGACCTTTTTAATTTCTAATCATTTTGTTTATATAGGTATTGGGTCAATGTTTTTTATTTCATTAATTATCAATTGTCTATAACTTCAAGACTTTGGGTTTGAATTCTTTTATATTGTTGAGTAATATGATACAGTCATCTCAAAAAAACAATTATCAAATTTAATTAATAAGCTCTATAATTGATCATAGTGAGTCTTTATTTGTAAAATATGTATCTTTTTCTCTCAAACTAAACCGTACATGTTAATTAATATTACGAGAGGATCCAAATTTTCATTTTGCAGCTTAGTGCACAGGTTATTTTGTTTACCACATACTTCGCCGGAATTTAAAATTATTTAATTATTTTACGAATTTCATAAACTTAAGTTATTATTGAAATGGATTCTTTTAGCTTGGAATCTTCTTTCCATATAAAAAAAACTTAGTTCAGTTTAAGTAAATTTTTAAAGAATTTTTATAAAAAAAATTAATATAAAAATTTAATTACTAAACCTCTAAACTCCATATTCTACAAATTAATTATACTTTTTTTTCTTTGAAGTTATAATATGAGATGAAAAAAAGGTCAACTAATCCACTAGAAAATTAGAGTATGACTTAGGTGAAACTTAACCTAATCTATTCACTAAACAAGACAATATTTTAAAAAAAATTAAAAAGACGATAATTTAAGCCATGAAAAATTATGGCTTGATAAGTTAATTAATTTCTTATCCACCATCATCGGAACAAATTGTCTTTGACCAAAAAAATAATAATAATCGTCTAATGAGAAAAACAATTTATAAAAATTATTACATTTAATATTATCGACATGTGTTTAATTATTATAGTCATTATTAATAAATATTTTTAATTGTTTAATTTTTGTCTAAAAGGTAATAATTAGTAAAGGGTATTTTTTGTTATTTTTATTAAGGCTTTCTATGATATATACGTGCATATATAATGTAAAATATAGAATACATTCTACTAAATATAAATGTTAGTGTTTTCTTAGTCATAACTTCTTCTTGCCTGGGCATATATTTTTTCTCTTCTTTCCTAACTCTATGTCCTAGTTAGTATGATTAAGAGAAAGATGCTTGTATGTAAAATAAAATAATTTAAGTAAATAAGTCAAATTTAAATACTGTATTCAGTTAGTCGAAAACTTATCTGTATTCTCATTTAAAAGTCTTAATTTAATTTTTTAGAGTTTAATTTTAATGCATGGTTAATGTAAAAAAATTACTATCAAATAATTAAAATACATGATAAATATAATATTTAAATTAATTATTACTAAAACTTATATTTTTCATTAATATAATAACCTATAATTAAATAATAATATTAAAAAAGTTACACTGTTAATGCATTTTAATTAAATTATATTTTTATTCATCAAATGGCATGCTTATAATTTTAGTTTTATAAATTTTATATTTAATCTTTCTAAATACCATTACAAACTTCGTATTTTACTTTTGTAAATATTATAAATTTTTTATTTGATCCCTGTAAAATAAGAGACTAAAAGGAAAATTTATAATATTTAAAGAGATTATTTTGTAACAAAAATCATTTTATTGAGTACTCTCATTCACAAAAAATTTGAAATAAAAAATTAAATTAAAAAATCACAAAATTTTAACGATGAAAAGATTTATTAAACTTGAAAGAATAGCATACCAATCCTTGATTAGTTTGAACAAGAGCCCCAGCTCCTGCTGATGCAAAATTCACCCCATAAATGTAATTATCCTTGTATCCAAGACTCAGGTATGGTCGAATTAGTGGCAACTTTGCATACTCAGCTGCAAACCAAAAACATCACAAGTAAATCACAATACAATATTAATGCTTCAAATACGTATAGTGGGTAATATTGAAAACAAACCAATGAAATCTGGGATCACACGTCCATCAGAAAATCTTCCAGTGGGATACTCGAAGAAAGTTTCACCATATGGGGGAAAGTTTGCTTAAAAAAAAGTGGAGGAATTTATGTAATCATTGTTTCCAGACTCAAACAATGAGTCTCCAAATATGAACAAGGGTGTGTGTTTTTCGGGGATGCTGTTGTTGCTATGGGAAAATGAGTAATCAGTGTTGAGAATCAAAAGGGTCATGTAAAAAACCAATATAGACATGAAAACCCTTAAGCTTCCCATGCTTGAATTAGATATGGCTTCGCCAACTATTATATAGATACAATGAAAATGGTCAGTTCGTATATATGATTAATTAATATAAGATACTTACTTTTAACGTGCGTTGAAACACATGCAATAAAAAGTAAGTTTGGTTTGAAATAATAAGATATTAAAAAATTTAATATATTATTAACGTCTAACTATAACTTTTTTAATTTTTTAACATGTACCTTTAGAGACACATTAAAAAAATTAATTAATATCTTATTTGACAGATTTTTTTTACTGCAGAACAGATTTGATTCTTAAACCATGATTCATGTGTTGGTATGCCGATATCTTTGACTTTGAAGATAAAGAATACATTAAAATAGCATTAGTCAGCTTAGGGAAAAGTTGTTTTCGCAGACATATCTTGAACAAATTCATTGGTTATGGGAAGGTTTTTTCATAAACATATATTAACAATGTGATAGTGAATATTATTTTGTCACCTTCCTAAGAAATCTATAAAAAGTTTGTGAAATTAATATTTCTCAATCTTACATAAATGTTAATAATTACTAAAATTGTGTTAAAAAAAAGTTATATTAAAATATTATGATTACGGTATCATTTAAATTTTCAAAAATTAATCAATAACAAAAAATTATTTAGAATGCATGAAAAATTTCCGAAACAAATGTCTTTATACATTTAAAAAATATATTTTAATTACTTAATCAATATCCTTACAAGTACTACTGATTGGTGTTTTTCTCACTTAAAAATTATCGGAATGCAAAGTGATGAAAATACTGTCTTGGTCTGTTCTGTATATCAATTACACTTAAACATCTTTTTTATAAACTTAACTCTACTTGTTAGGGTTTGAGCGTGATGTGAAATTTTTTTAAGACTTTGTTTTAGATAAAATCCTTTAAATACGCTGGCAAGTCAATCATATAAGTAGGTCAATAAATTTATTAACAAAATAATTAAATAAATGCATAGATCAATGTATTAACATAATCATAATATTATATTTTATCTTATTTGTAGTCAAACATAAAATTACAGTTAAATAACTAAAGTCATAATTAGCTTAAATTTATGATTGAGTATTTTTAAACATATTTATCACTGCTGTTATCATACGTAAATTTTTTTACTCTGAGAAATTAATTTCAACATCTTTCTGATTGTGAATTATAGTTCTGAGATCTTTATTGCAGCTGAGTTTGAGAAGTTGCCATTAATCTAATCGTGTCTATATCCTGGTTATCAACAATTTATATATTAAGGGTTCAATTTTGCTTCAACAGGGGCAGGGGCTTTATATGTGAAAACATATGTACTAAAATAATAAATGGATTTATATGTGCTAATTAAATAAAGATTGTTAGAATTATTGTACTTACATCTAAATAATGGATTTAGAAATGCATTTTATTGCATGTTGAGTGCATTGATTAAACTATCTTATTCTCTTAACATTGAACAATAGGTTACTAATCATTGTTTTCACATAAGTAACGTGATTGAGATGAGAACCTTTTTCTTTTCCATACTATATCCTAGTTATCATTATTATACTGATTAGGAAAACTTAACGTCACTAGGAGATGGAAGTTGTGCATTAAAAATCTTGAATCAATCATTTATACTAATTCAGAAGTTACTTCTAAACTGAGAAAACAAAATGATTCAAATGGATATTTGCTGATTTCATCCAAATCTTTCTATGGAATTAAATATTGTGTGATTGTGTCTGATAAATGAAAAACTTTCAGTCACTGAAAGATATGCAATCCTGTAATATCTCTAACCCATTTAGTATTTTAATACCGCTGAACAAAATAAATTTGTTTTCCAAGTCTCTATTCTATTTTATTGTTATTGTTCCTTTTTTGCGGAATAGATTTTCATGAGAACTAGAATTTTCCATGCCCATGATCCCACATTGATGCATTTTAAGCAGAACGAAAAATGCAGGTATCAACATACAAATCTCTGCTGTCTAATAGAAGGCTTCATAGACTATTATAAACTAAATAATATACATATATCAAAGCATGAAAACTACATAACTCATGGCTTCATTCCCTTCTACTTCTCGGCAAAGCAATGGAGTTGCTCCAATTTTCAGTCATAGCAAATTAAAATGCTAACTACTTCAAACAGGTTCTTAAACTTTACTAGCATCTTTTGGAAAGTGCTCAATTGTTAGTTCTACTACTGCTTATAGCTTCTTCAAACCAGTCACCTTTAGGGGCATGCAACCCAAAGGACCAAGCTTAGAAAACCATATGGTTCTTCATCCTTCCTCCTATCTTATATATTTCGTACACATCACATTGTAAAGTTAAATTCTGACTTGTAGTTTTATCTGAAATTAAATTGGTTAAATTCCCTTGAACGTGCATGGATTTAATTTGTAGCTTACATTGATCACTGAAGCTCTCGGTTGCCAATCACCATCTATCAACATAGTTTTCTTCACATATATGACTTGTTACAAATACTTGTTAAATAGACAAAGATATCAGTGTATTAGGTGCTTTATATCCTAGTTTCTGTCTCAATAGCTTGTTAACATGCCTTGCATAAAAAACTTGAGCCTTTAGGTTCAGTACCTGAAAAATCATACTTACACAAAAATAAATAAAATCAAAATTTCCATCAAGTGAGAAAATATTATCTCTATAGTATTGTTCAAGTTATTCAAAATTGCCATCAATAAAAAATCATAATTATTTCTTCAAAATAAGGTGAATTAAACTCGCATATCAGGGGATTACTCATAACAGAGTAACAGCGACCAAAACCAAAACGTTGGTTCGTGCTTCACAAAGAGAGATAAAAACAAACGCCCACGACAGAATTGAAAAAAGGGTTCTAAGTGCCAAAACAACATGCAATATGTCCTTCACAAGCTTTATAATTGCACAATCAAGATATGGTTATTATAATGTACAATAACTAAGGTAAATATGAATTAATGGACAAAAAGTTGTACATAAATTTTATCCACACAATCAAGATATGATGAATCATGAAACAAATCATGGGGCTTGGAAGAGATCTCTAATAGTGTAAGGCCCTATGTTGTGAGAGCTGCTAGTATAACCCCACATACGATTTGCCATTTGTTTGTAAGCACTTTCTGTAAGATGATAAGAGTCCCAAAATAAATGTTCATTGGGTTTGTCACATAATTCAAATTCTTTCTCTCCTCTTTTCCCCCCACAGCTATACACTCCTCTAAATGGCCCGCTTCCACAACATGCTGATTTTCCTTCCTTCAAACCTATATCAAATAAACAACAACGATTTTCAATTATTAATTTGCAAAAATCACAGCTTAATTAGAAGTAGTGGCACTAAATTGAGAGTCAAAAGTGCAATTTAATTTAATACTTTTCTATGATAACACTAAAGACTTACCATATTTCAAGGGGTGTTTGATCATTTGAGTGAGATCAGTGTTGAAATCATAGAGAGCAAATTTAAAGCCATTTAACTGTTTCTCCAATTGCAAGAGAACCACAGATAGAACTCGATTATGTAAACTTGCAAGGGCTGAAAGTTCTTGTAAGCAACTACCATTTCCTTTTGATTGAATTATTCTCGTGCCTGGGAGACAACCTAAGCGTGGCAAATTCATAAATACAAATTTTCTAGCCCCTCTTTTATATATTTCCTGGATTAAAAAAAACATTATAAATAAATCAAAACCAGTCATGTCACTTAGATAATAAAAGTCATTCCATTTATATATTAACAATAAATTAAAAGATATACATGCAAAATAACTGTAAGTCTAAATTCTCAAAAAAGTTTAAACAAGTTACTCAAATTTCGAGCTCAATCTCTTCCTTATCTTAAATCGGTCTACCCTCAAAATTTTAGTACTTCTTAATCAAAACTCTTCCAACTATATATACCTTCCTCAACAAAAAGAAAATATTAAGGGAAAAAAATAGCAAATGCATTATAAATGTGCTATTTAATCCTATTTTGAATTTCCATTTAAGCCCAGCGTTAATGAAAATTTTCTTTAAAGTTTTACTTCATATTAGAGTAGCTAGACGGGAAGAAGTACTATTTTTCACTTTAATACGATTGTTAACTAATTATACTTGTTTTCCAATAAAACATAACCCTATTATTCTGTATTTTTTTGTCTCATGTTTACATCGTTGGAGAACACTAACACATTGGCTTGTTTGTATTGCCGTTCATAACGTTGATGGATAGAAAGTGAATACTTTTCCTTTTGATAAACTTCCATTATGAGTGTCTTGAAAATCGAGATTCAAACTGAACGGGAATTTTAGTTATTGTCGAGGAAAGACACACAGAAATCATTTTCATTTTTTATCACAATGTCCTATGACCCTTAACAACTGTCTTATCTTTTTCATTTTTTATTTTTTGTAGGCCATGAAGAATTGTCTTATCTTTCCTTCACGTTATCTTATCACCACATAAAACTTTGTCTTTTCTTCTTCTGGTTAAAATGCTTGTACTTTACCATTTAGGATTTGAAAAAATATATATATAATAATTGAAAAGGTAATTTTATATTTTTTAATTTGAGAAATAAATTTTACATAAAATTAAAAGAACTATAATAACAATAAAGGGGTTTTACATAATGATTTCATTATCATATCATTTATATTTACTGAAATAAAGTTTTTATTAATTTTAAAAAGCTTTAGCTTTACTTCCAATAAAGAAGTATAATTAGAGCTGTCTGATATAAGTTAGGACATTAATTAGCCTCCAATAAACAGCATGACTTATTTTCATCCATAAGGACATGTAATTCAAATTCCTTATTCGTATGAATCTCATGGGCCAAGTACAACCCTCAATCTAATAAAAGTGTCATTATAATTCTATACATACATTACCCTCTCTTTTTTCTTTTTTATTTTGGTCCAGTATACATACTAACCTTTAAGCAGATATATAGATACAGGAAAATTTGTACCTTGGTAATGGAAGTGAAGTTACCAACAACCATTCTAACATATTCTGAATGAGAGTAAGAGTTAAGAACATCAGAATCTGTCAAGAACGGGCTAAGGTAATCATTGGCTCCGATGCTAAACATGTAGACAGCACTTGATAACAATGTTTCAGCTTCAGAACTTCCGAGCTTGTGCCTCAATGAAGCCGCTACTTTCTTGAAGTTTCTTGCTTGTATTTTGAGGGGTATTACCTAAAAATTTGAGATGACATAGCCATCATGCATGGTTGCAGGACATTGCTAGTTCCTACTTACCAAATGCATTTAATAAAAATTCAGGATAACAAAATAGAAGGGAACCAATACTGCATCATCTTAATTGAGATGAATTCAGCCCTTCTTCATTGTATTGACTATGGAATAAGGACAATATTTGGGATTATAAATTATTGTAATATGTCATTAAGTTTTGGAACAAAAAGGAAAAAGAAAATAATATAAGATGAAAGCTATAATTGTCTCCGTCTTCTTGTGTTATATAAATGGAGCAATTAAAAGAAAGAGAAAAAATAGAAATGTAAATTAAGGTAACTAATATTCTTCCATTACTAATTGCATTTAAATTCCTCGCACTCCAGTTCATTTATATATAATTCAGTTCATTCTGTCTTCTAAAGTCTAAACAAAGTCCTTGGTGCATAAATTGAGGAAAATGCAAGCAATTATGCATTTCATTTGGAAAATTATTTAACACGCACTCTTTTAATAAAATATTTCCCGTAAAAGAATATATTTTCCATATATAGAACCATTATCTGTTCACAAATAAAAAAAAATTATCAGAAAATCTTCTTATATGATGAAGTATATCATCTGTAAATTTTATATTTATCTTTTTCTTCGTTAAGTTTTATAAAACTTCAACTATCAATTCAATGTCCAAACACAAAATGTACCAATTTCTATTATTACATGGGTTGGCCCATGAGGGCTTGTTGTGTCAGTCTTTCAAAGTAAAAATAAATATAAATAAAAAGGTAAAAACTACCACGTTCTAGCAGTGGTTGTCTGAATCACTATTTTTCTTGACATTTGACATCACCGGGAGGGGACATATGATACTCGATTAAGCAAACCATAGTGCTCTCTCAATGTAATTATGGCTAGCTACCTATGCATCCTATATGCTAGACATGCATAAGACATGCTAATTACTAATCACTATATTGTATTAGTAACTTTTTCATCCTATACCTTTGAGAGTTCTATTAAATTTGCGGTTCATTAATCAAAAACAAATAGTGCAATAGTGTAAATGAAATTGACTTACCGACCCTTCAAAAGTTTGAACAAGAGCACCTGCTCCACCAGATGCAAAATTCACCCCATTATAGAATTGGGTATTGCCAGGTTGTAAAAAGGGTGGAACCAATGGGAGATTTGCATATTCAGCTAGAAAAAAACATAGGAAGACAAAAGAATATGAGAAATGGTAGAAAGTTATTATCTTATTTTAATGGGAGACACAAAATATATGTTAGTTGAACCAATTTGGATTTTTACAAGTAACAAGACAAGAAGCATAAGATCTCCAAATCTTACCTATGAAATCTGATATCAACCGGCCATTAGAGAATCTCCCTGTTGGGAACTTGAAGTAAGTTTCACCGTAAGGCCAGAAATTTGCTTGGTCAAGGGTTGTAGTGTTGATGTAATTGTTATTCCCAGCATCTAAGAAAGAATCGCCAAATATGAAGAAGGCAACATGTTTGTTGCCTCTATGGTGGATCTTGCTTCCATGGGTGTGAAAAACAAGAGCTATTAAGAACATGAGGACGAGCATAGAGCCTCCTAGATTTGCCATGATGAACTCCATCTTCACAAAATATGCTGCTAATTGCAATCTCAATGAATCATAGTTGACCCGTATTTATAACTAGTGACTTTGTTTCTATATATACACAAGGATATAATAACACAATTTTTGGACTAGTCAACGCAATTTGATTGGTAGAAATATTACTTTATTCTATATATTAATGGTGTCATAAAAAACAGAGAGATGGACTTGAAGAATATGGGTTTCCCACTTATATGTACATTCTAAGTTAAAATTGATTCCTTATAAGCTTGCAAAGAAAATATTATGTGGATTCCATTAGCTAATGTATTTGCATGTCCATTAGGCTGCAATCTGATGTATGCAATGCTTTATCATGGCCGACACCATGTTGTATCCTAGCCTAAATGTTTGCTATTGGAGAGTAAATCATGAAATTAATCGGTATGTGAGATTATAAATGTTAATCATTTTATATAATTCTTTCTAATTTCTAATTTTATAAAAAGAAAAATCAAGTTGGGACTTGGTCATTAAGCAAACTTTAAAATGGTGCAGTTTTGATATGTTGACAGGTTAATCCACCCACCATGAACATTTGAGCAGTAATTTCAAGGGATACATCAGAATTGTTAGAATCATTAACATTTGAATATTTTCTTAGATGGGGACGACCCAGAAAGTGAAATGTTCCATGTGATGTGGTGTTCATGTTTGGGCTGAGGCTGATTTGCCTTAGCTTTTGTTTGATGCGAACCCATCATGTCACGTCATTGTCATAGAATTCTGACAAACATATTACGTGATCGACGTGTCGATACCTTGTTGGACTCAAACTCTTCACGGATGGGAAATAATTTTTGAAGAAACATTGTTGTACAACATGTGAAAGGCACAGTGTAATCACTTGATTATGTTCACATTAATGTGAGATTATATGCGATTATAATAGCAGTTTTGCTTCTTTGTCGATTCAAAAGTTTCTTTTTTTTCGGAGTGACTGGAGGTTTGAAAGGCAACAAAAATTCGTTGAAGAAGGAAAATACAATTCAATAAAATTTCATCTGTTTTCAGTGCAATATGTATGTATGTATGGTCTCTTTAGCAATCATAATAATAGCCATGTTGAAATCTGACTCACAGATGACTTCTTTATATCTCATATTCAAAGCTATGAATACCATACAGAATAGCTAATAATTCTGCCTATAAATTAGACATTTGATAACGAAGTAAAAAATTTACATCAAAATTTGTTGAAAAGGCTTATTGATTTTATAATATAGTTTAGTATTATTGTTGTTAATATCGTTTAATATTACCATAAAAGCTTATATAGGATCTTGACTTACATTTAAATTGTCTGTGACACCATTCAAATCTCCTAATGACGACAGTATAATTCGATTTTTCGTATATATATGTGTGTGGGCGCGCGTGTTTTCACTTGGAAATTCAAACGCGTCAAAGTTGCTTGTTTCAAAGAAAAAAGTGTATCAAAATTATTTAAATCAATATGTCTATGACTAATAAGCATATGTGAAACATGTTTCGCACTAAACATTATTTCTAAAAAGAAACAGGACTGATTAATTGAATTGATCAAACGATAAATAATCTATATTTCTAATTCGAGCTTTGCCTTGTTTAATCACTGTAATTGAACTATATAAATTTAAGTTGTTTGGCTAGTTATTTTAATTAATTATAATTTATATAATTAACTTTAAAATTATATTCTTATAATAGTGATATTTAGCAAATGATTTTATATTGTTCTTTTCAATATTATTAAAAATTGGGTCTATGCATAGATCTTGTAACTTTTTATTTGTTTCCTCGATATTTTAATAAAATTTCTCCACCCTACCTCTCACTTTCACAAATAATAATAACAATAATATTTTAATAATAAAAGTTTTGATCTTTAAAAAAAATGACAGCTAGTCCAAGATTAATTAAAAATATAAACTATAAGTACTTAAAATACATTTTAGTCCAAAAAATAGAATTTAAAAGAAAAAATTATATAAACATATTTTTTATATCATTCTACATTTATTTTCTAATTTAATAATTAATTTTAGAAAATACTTCGTTCAATTTTTAACTAATTAATTTCAACTATAATGTATCTTTTTTATTTTCAACTAATTCATAAATTTCTTTTATTAGACACACTCTGAAACAATTAAGTCAGTGGATAATGACTAAGGATTCACTAGTTTACTCTCTAGTATAAATGTCAAAGATCATGCATTATGTATTGCACACCGTCTTTACTTGTTAAAGGGCAAGTTTTCAAGTACACAATAGAAAGTGTTTTACTAGACAAATCTTTAATGTATTTTATAAATTCAGAATATTTTTTTCTATATAAAAAGACTAGAAGCCCAAAACAACAAACAACTAGGATCAACCCTAGAAAACCAGAAGATACTTTGAGTCCAAACATAAAAAAGGACAAAAAAAAATTGAACAACATCAAAACTAATGAAAGACAAACAAGCTCAAATTCAATTTTAGTTAATCTATTAGCCCTAGAACTTTAAATGTAAAAATGTTATTTTCTGAAATGAATATTTTAATTTTATTAAACTAATGAATTTCATCAATCTTCACACTTCGTCATAGTTATCCTTAAAATTAGTTTTTTATTTTATTTTATGATTATATATAGAGAGAGATATTATCCTTTATAATATTTGAAAAGTTATTGTTTAGTATTACATAAAATGAGATTTCATATCTTGAGTTAAGATATCTTTGTACTCTCTTAATTGTATTGATTGATTAAAAAAAAAGCTACATTTTATCATTTTAAATTTTTTATTTATTTTCTTAAGCTATGGATTTTATAAGTTAAAAACAACCTGATAAGCCCATTCCAAAGCCTATGGCTGAAGATAGGCTTACTCAACCAGGGCTGGGTAAGTCCATCTCCTAAGTCCATTCATCCAAAATATTTGACCCTAATTGTGTAGTTATATATCTCAAATCCTATGTCAGGATCACATGCAGATGGTAAAATTTATATTCAAGTTTAAACAATTCTGACCTTCTCAACTTTCATTTTCCTTGCATCACATTTACACTAACATTTTATTTTTATATTTTTTATTAAATATTTTTTAAATTTATCTTTTCTCCACATTCCTCTTAAATCTGATCACGAGATTAGAAATGACAATTTCTTATCGAATTCGAGAATTCTCACAAGGACTATTTCAATTGGATTCTCAAGATAGAATTTTTTTTTTCCAGTTAGAAAACTTCTGGGGATAGATTGCAAGTGACTATAGAGATCATACTTTTCATTTTGTGGGTCCTTATTCATGAGAAAATACTAAAATGATTTTAATTATACAAGTGAATTTATATATTTTAGATTTTTTAAATGATATTATATTTAAATTAAAATAATAATAATTACCCTTTTGTTACATTTCTTTAATTTTTAATTTTTGTTTTAAAATATATATTTTTCATTTTTATTTTAATGAATTAAATTGAATACCAAAAAGGCTCATAAAATATATCCACGCTCCTAAATTGTGATTAATTTGAGAATTCTTAAGTGATGTTATAAGAAAATGAAGAAGGAAGATAAGAAAAAACAATTGTGTTACTAGAGATGTAAAGACACGAGAGAAACTAAAAAAAACATGAAAAAAAGGCGGAAAAAATAATCGTTCCAACATGAAACATAAGAAAAACAATAATTTTAAATTTTTAGCATAAGTGAACTTCAATCAATCTTGTCACTCAAATTTTCATTTTCAAAATAATTGCATATAAAAGAGTGTATAGTTTTTCTAGAATGAAAATTGTAGTAATGTAGTTAACAACAATAGTATAGCTATCTCACATCGTTACAAGATCAATGTTTTTCCAAGTCTAGGCTTACACGCAATGATGTATTGAAGACGAGCACGTTACTTGAAACACTAGATTCATAAACTTTTCCATTATCTTCATCAAAAAAAGAAGTTCCTTAGCCGCCACAACGGGAAATTATTGAAATCAAAGAAGATCAACTCACCACCTTTCAAGCTCCTTTTTATTTCTAAGTACAAGTCAATGCATTTGACTCAGCCATCCATAACGAGCACTACCAAAAAAAAATTTATAGTAAAACTCCAGTTATATATATATATATATACTGTTTATGTTTCTATTTATTTATTTTAAAATATTAAAATAAAAAATTTAAATATTTATTATAATTAATTATTAAACTTATTAATTTATCTTTTATTAATATTTTTTCTATTAAACTATTTTCAATAATATATATATTTAATGTGTACAGCATTACAAAGGATTAAATGTTATATATAATAATTTTTATTAAAATTTACAAATTTTGATATTATGTAATATATTTATAGTATTAAACGTTATATTTTTTTATAAAATTATTTTATATAAATTTGTATTGTGTAATATTACAAAGAAAACAAAATCATATATAATAATTTTTTATTAAATTATAAATTTTAATTTATTTATAATATGAAAAATGTTACAAATTTTTTTTAAAATATTTTATATAATTTTCATATCTTGTACAATGTTGTACAAGTTAAAAAAAAAATTATTATATCACATTATAATACTTAAAACAATGATAATATTGAAAGTCATAAATTTTATTTTTTTTATTTTTTATAAAATTTAATCCAAATTCGACTCGAATTATACACCTAAATGTGATAAGTGAATTTATTATTAAAAAATTATATATATAAAGACTTAAACTCAAAATATTTTTAAATAATATCAAACTGTTTATAACTTAAATTGACAAATTTTATTAAAGAGTTATTATTTACTTCCTGTGTATAATGATTAAAAAATTAATATTATCTTAATTTATATAAATAAATAAAAATAAGGAATCTATAAATTTGGTATGGATCTACGTGGGGTATCCAACCTAACTGACCTGACGCGTGCGGCAATCACGAGAGCTTCTTCCAATGTTTTTTTGTTCATATTATCAGTTCAAATGGTACACCTCCACATGAACACGATACATCTCCCAAAGCATGTTAGATTTTGCGATCCCAAACAACATAGTGTTTATGTGTCACACTCTCTGTAGTTTACCTAAAACATCGTAACTCGGTACACCTAAATGTTGGAGCCACGACACTTTCCATTCTTTACCTAATATTGGAGTATACAAGGTGGCAGCAGAATTTGATTGGTTTCTCCCAATGACCGAGTCACGTGCCCTCTGCACCTCAATTTTCTGGCTTCCACATGATTGGTAATATTTTACAAACCTGCATTGGTGATCTCCACACTAATGGCAACTACATTTCTTTGGGATATAGATACCCTTCAAAGAAATGAAATGTGAGATGGGTGACGTAAAAAAAGAGAGAGAATAAAAAATGTGAGTAAGAAAATTGAACAAGAACATAGTAAAGTTGATTGTATATGTATAGATCATAGAAACCAGTGATTTTCCCGTTAGGTTATGCACTCTTGCAATGACATGCTGAAAATTCCTAATGCTAATTAGTAACATGTTTGTATGAGTAATAATATAGTTTTATTTTAAAATAAAATTAAGAAGAGACAAAAATAAATTTCATTATTTATATGAAATCTTAAAAAGAAAACAACTAATACATACTTTAGTAATTATAAATAAAAATATTGACTAGCAAGACTTACCTAAGGCAATCTAGGTCAAGATTTCAAGTACATCCCCCACTGCAGTGAGAGTATTGCAATTACTTGATCTTGTATTCCAAAAAGAGATTCCAGCTGCCTAGCCTTGAACGAGTAAGGTAAAAAAATAAATACTAGGCGTAATATTATCTTTCAAAATCCACGTCAACTTCAATTTTATTTATTCTGCTCAATACTTAAAAAACAAAAAGAAGGAACTTTACACAGACCACAAAGAACTTCATCTTTCACAAATAATTTCTCATGTTTGAATTTCATAGAAAAATATGATGATGTAAACAATTAAAAGTAAATAAGATTATTATGTAAAATGCTCACCCTAAATATATATAACATTATACTTTTTTATTAAAAATATTTAAAATCAACCTTACACACGCTAAAGCGGAACTAAATTTTATAAATGAAAATACACTCAGTTGAACTTGAATTAATCAAATTTCAAAATAAAAAGTCTATATGACTTTTGGATACTAGAAGATTTTAGAAATCTAAGAACATACAAATCAATCTTCAACAAGTTATGCCAAATTTTAACGATTAACTCGCTCACGCCAAAATTCTCCGACAGAGGCAAAATATCCACCCAGAACATATTAATAATTCATATTCACTATAAATTTATGCACTCCTCTAAAAAATATTCACTAAAATTAATCTTACTCAACTTTAATCCAAAAGCCACTTTCAATCGGCAGAGTCGATCAAACAACACAAGTAACCAAACAAGAAAGCAAAACATTTCCGACGATTGGAAAACATGCACCAAACAAGGGTAAAAAACTAATAGCCTCAGTCATAATTAAATTGCCATAAGGAAAACAACCCAGTTAACAATTATATCAGCAGTCAAGACTGTATCCGAAGATCATATATAACATAATCCTTATGAACATCAAACAGAAAATTGCCTGAAAATGAGGTCTTTGAAAACACAAAGGACATCTAAAAACCTATATAGTCCTATACTCATTGGCCACAAGAGAATAAAACTCCACATATGCTTAAGCAGGTTACTTGTTCATAATCCATCACCAACACCACCACGACCACCACTCCTGAAAGCAATACACAATAGATAAAACCATAAATAATCTACCTTCAGAAACATGCAGTGATACTTCCACCAAGAATGCAATAGAAACAAAAGGAAATTCACTAACTTGTAGCTTTATTTACATAAACAGCGCGACAAAGTAGATCAGAAAACTCCTCCTGCCATGGAAGCCAGGTCATCGAAGCTCCAAAGGTTCATAGGGTTTCCACCATCCTGAGTTGCATCTCCACCGAGCAATGATGCCAGCGAAGCATCGCCCCAGGCTCCATCAAGGAAAGGGGTATCAAAGAACTTCAGCTGAGACTCAATATCAGCGAGCTCCTCAGATAGAGTCTTTGCAGAATCATCTTGCACGGACATCAGATCCTGAGAGTTTTTCTTCTGATCAGCCTGAACAAACTGAGATTCACCTTCCAGAGGAGCAGAAAGCATGGATGAGATCTCAGGAGTCTTTGGACCCTGCTCACCCCATCCAAGATCAGAATAATCAAACGAATTGCTCGAATGCTCAGAACTGAAATAAGTAGTAACATCAGCAGATGCAGTAACAGGTGAGATTTCAACTCCATTTCCAGGGAACGAGGCCATGTTAGCATACTGGTTAACCAGTGGTTTCTGCTCCACCTGATCTATAGGGCTGTAGTAGTCCTCCAGATTGTCACCAAAGTTGAACATTTGGTTCAGTTTTGGCTTAACAGAGTTAAGATTGTCCTTTAGTGACTGCTCTCCTGGGCTTGCCTTGAAGCGTTTTGAGGAAGCAACTGGAGCCTCATCAGGGAAATTAACCTTGGCTTTCTTGCCACGAATCCTCCTTGCTTCAGCATCATAAGCTCTAGCAGCTTCTTCAGCAGTGCTGAAAGTTCCAAGCCAAACACGAACCCCCTTTCTTGGGTCACGGATTTCAGCTGCCCATTTTCCCCATGGACGCTGACGGATTCCCCTATACTGATTCTTCCTCTTTCTCTTAGAATTAGCAGACTTCTCAGCTTGCCCCTTTAATTCCACAGATTTTACAGTTGATGATCCTACAATATAATCGGAAAATTAACATAAATAGTAGGGTAAGGACAATAGTCATGCAGTATCATTTAATAACAACCATAAAAATAATAATAATAACAACATCACCAAAAACACACATATACAAAGATCAGCATTTATTTCCCCATTTCTTCCAAAACCATTCAGATCTGCTAGACAACCCTCAGCACAAGGTAAAAGGAAAATCAGCAACAAATAAGAACGAATATGGACATATCTTAACAAAGGGTGTGTGTTATTTTATTCAGTTTAGTTCAGTTATAGATACGGTTGCTATCAGCCTATCAAACTACCCAACCTATACGACAAAAAAGGGGTAGTTATTGTCGCACTGTATTAAGAAACATACACAGCTTGTAATAACAATATAACATTAAGATGAAATCAAACATCAAGCATTTCAAATTCATGGATTATTAATTAGTGAGCAATCAACATCACGAAACATTATTTATCCCCTCATAACAGACCAAAACTGAAGCCGAAGAATTAGCAATATTCAATGCAAAATCAAATTTGGATCAATGAATGAACAATTAATGAAACAGATTACAAAAGTAATGTCGGGATCCTCAAATTTTTCTTTCAGATCAGTAACACAGAAACTAGCTCCACCTAGATCAGACTCATCAATTAGAAGACCATTAATGAAACAAATTTATAACACCCGGCAAGGCCAACCACATGCCTGCTCAAACGTGCCACGAAAGAGGCAAAATTGAATTTAAAGCATAAATTTCAAGTAATAGAAAACCAGTCCCAAAATTACATGCAGATCAATTCCAGGACTCATTTAGTCAATGATCATGAATTATACATAAAACACCCTGCGAAAGCCCTCATTTTTATAATCAATCCATACCTATAATTTTTTTTAAAATAACCAAAAAATTTATTTAAAAAAAAAAAAAAAACTTTAATCTCGCCAAGGGCAAACTTCACCGAAATAACAAAAATTTACATCAAGAGCCCTTTAAAAAAAGTTACGATTATGTTTGAGATAGTTAAACAGGCAACTGAAATAAACTCCAAATGGATCTAAAAAATCATCCAATAATTAAACCACTTCAAAGTCAATTGCTGTAATCCCAAAATTTCATGAACAGTACATACACACCCAACCAAAAGAAAGAAAAAAATTACAACGGAAGTTCCCTCATTTTTCTATCAACCAGAAAAACAAATCACTCCTGAAGAGAACTCAAAAGATGCAATAAAGCAAAAAAAAAATTCCTCAAGATACTGACAAGATCTAAAACGATCTAACAAAATTCCCTGTGCCAACTCCATAAACAGAAATCCTAAAAATAAAATAAACAAATAAATAAATGACCACCAACGAACTCATAAATCGGACAGTTTTTTTTTTTTTCAAATAAAGCTCTCTTTTTTTTTACAATTTTTTTAAATCATAAAATAGTCATTTCCATCAGCTAACAACCAAATGAGATGTGAAGCACCAAACAAACGAATGCATGCGAAAATTAAAACCAGAAATTCACATTTAAAAAAAAAAAAAAAAAACAACTCAGGCAAAACTCAGAGGTGATGATCAGAAATAGTTACCACGAGAGAGAAGGGGCTTTGAAGGCTTGTTGGAAGAAGAAAAGCGAAAGGGCTTAACACCAACCAGCAAGTCACCATCCTCATCCTCATCATCATCCTCATCGATTTCAGAGTCATCCTTGAATTCCCTGAATCCAGCCTCGAAGTCATCGTCCAACAACGGCTTCGAGAAGCGCTTCTCCGAACTGGGTTTCCTCAAATTCGGCCACAGGATGTCGGCGGTCACCCGCCGGGACCTTCCGGCGGGTCCCGCCGGAATGAAGTCGGAGATAATAGCACCTCCACACATCTTTAGATCCTTCTTCTTTCAGGAAAAGTTTGAGACTTTCTTCCACCCAATGGAAAATTTTCAGAGAAAAGCCAAAGCTTTGGTTCAATGGAAAGAAAATGGGATTGTTTCTTCAGGGTTTTGTATAATTGAGTTTGGTGTGAGGTGAGAGCTGTTCACTCTTCTATATATATATAATTTATAATTTTTTTCAATGGGGTGGGTGAAGAAATATGGTGTTACCTTTATGCCCTTGGTGTTACCTTGTCAATGGTTTTGAAAGGTAAACGGTAAAAAGATGAAGTTTACTGGTTTGGTAGTACTGTCAATGGTCAACGCCAAGCGTCACGTGCCTTGCTGACTGTATGCGTTAGAAAATAAGTTGAAAATTTGTAAATATGTATTTAATGTAGTAGAAGTTATGATTAATAGTGTTAAATTAAATGGGTAGTTTTATTTAAAATTTTTATTTTATTATGCTGTTTGAAAATAAAAGTTGTTCAATGGATATATACAGAAGCGGGACTAGAAGAAATGATACTAAAAGAAACTATATGAAGCATATCTTGAGAATTAGTTAAGAAGGTAAAAATAATATAAAATAGTGTTTGTTAATTTTGAGCTTTAAGAACCATTAAAAAATTATAAACCTGCAATATTTCTATCAAAAAGGGGATAAACACAACTTATGATTAAAGAATGTTGGCTGTTGGTTAATCTAGTATGATAGTTAGAATGAAATGTAGATTTAAAGAATGTGTGTCAATTATTTAAGATTGATAGTTTTTTTGTCTTTAAGATTAATTAATTTCTGTGTCATGTCATGTTGCAAAGTTTTAGTTTTTTGCTCCTTCCATTCAAGGTATTTTTTAAGTGATTGTTAAAGATCATTTTCTTTAAAAATAAAAATACTAAAATAGATACACACATTCTTTCAATAATTTTTTTAAAATAAACATTATCTAAAATTAAAATCTAATTAATATATCTAAGAAATATAATTTATATTTTGTTATTAAGTATGTAATTGAGAAAAAGACTACTAACAGTTTTTTAGCTTAATAATGAATGTGTATTATATTGGATAGAACACTTCGATCACTATTATAGAAAAAAAAAATTAAATACTCCTTTTGTCTGGCACTTAATTACGAATATCCATCTCCTTTGTCGAAGTAATTAATAAAGATTAATAGTTAATAATTAAAAAATAAGGTTAATTACATAATTAAAAAGATAAAAATAAGACTAAGTCATAAAAAAATTAAGAAATACAGTGAATAAATGGCTTATGAGCATAAAATAGCATTAATTATCTAGATATCTGACTTTACTATTAGAATGTCTTATGCAAGTATCCTCTCCACGTCATATAAAAGAGGAACCTAAAATATTCAAAGAGATATCATATTATAAGACAAAAAAAAGAAACTACTATATACTGATGTATCCTTAATAGAAATATGTATCATTAATAATAATGATAAGTTTCATATTTATAACACTACTTATTACTTTTGATTTCATAAAAGCAAAAACCAATATATAATATTTAGCAAACGCTAAATAAAGAGTGTAAACAAGAAATTAGTCGTCAATTGAAGTTAATAGTAGATAAATTATAATTTAACCCTTAAGACTCAAGGCTTGTTAATTTATTTGTTTTTAAGCATATTCTAGTTAAAAATATGTTTTAAAAATAAAAAATCATAACAATTTTCTAATTTCTAAAAACAAAAAATAATTAAATAATTATTTTATTTCACACTTACTTAAAAAAAATCTCATATCACATTCCATTATAATTACAGTATGCAGTAATGCAGATTTAATTTAAAATTACGTTATGAAAAAATACAAAAAGTAAAAATTAATCAGTGTTATAACGATATTAATTGAAAATAAAAATGCATTTAAAAATAATAATAAATTTTGTTTGTAGCTTTTAATAGATTTCAACATAAAAATAATAAATACTGTATTAATTCTTTAATTGATATTTTTAAAACACTAATTAGTCAAACTTAACGGAGAAACTCGTTGATTCTAAGATATTAAAAGAAATAAAAAAATTTAATGTTTAAATTTAATATTTAATGCAATGTTTTGAGATTTTTTTAATAATTATTAAGATTCTGGTTACGACAGATAATATTAAGACACTTGAACAGTAGTAGACCGATGACCAACAACCTGGTATTTCGGTAAGAAAGCTGTTTTACTTTTTACTGGCTTATGGAAAATGCTCGTGGGCAATTTTGTAATCTACTCTTCACAGGCATTACTAGGGTTAAAATTTATTAATATATTTATTGTTTCTCAAATATTAAATGCCTATACTTAATAAATGTTTCCATATTAATTAGGGAAGCTGCCATTAAGACGTGAAATTATGATTATCGGAAAAATGTTAATACAGTGTTTTTTTAATATATTGATTAAAATATATTGAAATTTATATAAATTACGCGTTTTGTTTTCTATTTTAAATTAAATATTTTTATATTTTTAAAAAATATTCTTAATTATTAATTAAATATATTAAAATTATACGAATTACACTTTTTTCACTTTTAGTTTTAACTTTTTTTATTATATTTTTAAAAAAATGTAATAATAGCTACGAATATATTTAAAAAAAAAACATGTTAGGAAATTTGTATGATTATAAGTTTATTATAACATCTCTCCCTTCCACTTAAACAAACGAAAATATTTTGACATTTAAGGTTTTACAGAAATTTAAGAAAATAATTGATATTCTAAATTTCATAAATATAAATATTATTTATCCTTTTATCATATAACTTATTTATATTAATCTATTGTCATTTATATATGTTCAAAAGATGTTAAAGAAGTTTAAAGTAAAATGTTTTTATTTTAAATAATATTACCTCATAGTCATGAAAAGTATTAATAATTTTTATAATAATTTAAAATATTTCATAGAACGCAGTTAATATTCTGTAACACGTATCATTAAATATGTATTAAAAACTGTGATTAATTAATGTCTCGCATTTTTTTTTTTTATTTTATCAAATAACCATTAATTATAAAAAGCAATGTATAAAAACATGCATTAATTGTTTATTAATATTATAATATAATAATAATAAATAAATTTTTTTAACCTTATTTTATTTTATTTATTTAATTAATTGTCTAGTCTTTATTAAGAATGATTTTGTAAAAAAACAGTTAATGTCAAATTAATTTTGTTAATTTTATTTTAAAAACAAATAGAATGAAATATGTTTTTAAAGAAATATACGTTTAGACCACCAAACAAGTAAATGGATTAGTAAAAAAATTTCAAATTAATATATAATCTTCAATTTCAAATTAATATGACATCTCAAATTTGAGTTATAATAAATATAATTATTTTAAATATTTAAAATGCTAACTTTATCTTTCATAATAGTTTAATCTCGTCTAAATAAAATTTTTTCAGGTAAAAGATACATAATTTAAATATATCTTTAGAATTAGAGAAAGTAGTGAATAATAATATTTTTATTAACAAACTATATTAGTATGAATTAAAATTTCAAAATAAGTATACTTTTTGTTAGTTTTTAATTAGTATTCTTTGAAAATAATTAGCATTTTTAATAATCTAAATGTGACGTTATTTTTTATTTTTTTTTCTAACATGAGTCTAATGACTGAAGTTAAAATTTATTTAAAGTATAGGACTCAATGCATAGAAAATTTGTGTTTTAAAGATAAAAATTAATGAACTCACCTTTTTATTTGTAAAAATGTTATTTTAACGGAGACGTTTAATATTCACTTCACACGCAAGCAACTTTAATAATCTTAATTATTTTAAGAGAAAAATAATATTTTTAAGTGCACTGTATTTAATGTTTTAGTATTATATATATGTATATATATATATATATATATATAGAGAGAGAGAGAGAGAGAGAGAGAGAGACTAGTTAAAGAAAAAAATATTAAGGCCTGATTTTGTAGACTTAATTTTTTATTTGTAAATTTAATGAAATCATTATTTTAAGAGAGACATTTTTTGTGTACTTGAAACACAACTTTAATAGTCTTTGTTATTTAAGGAGATAACAATATTTAAAAAGAATTTCATTTAATGTTTTAGTCATTTTTATATTTTTAAAATATTTTACACTTATTTTATATCTAAAAAATAGTATTTTAGAGCTTGAATTAATTCGGATAAATTTGTTTTGGTTTAATTTATGGTTTTGTGTTTTAACAAATGCAAAACTATTGATAAATTGAAGAACAAATTTTATCATTTATAATGGTAAAATTCAGCTCTTAACGAATGATCCCTGTAATTTAATTTTCAAAAAGTAATTCAACATTGTGACGTCAGAATAAAAAAATGCATTTAATTACTCTTGTGACACAAGAACTGAAAAAATTGCATCTAATTACTTTTTTTTTTCATTTATAAAACTATTTGTTTAAAGTTATGCTACAAAAAAACTGTAAAACACATTTAATTGTTTTTTTTAATTAAAATTATTATATTTTTTTATTATACCTATTTTAGAATTTGTTTATATTATATTTATAGAGATAAGATAGAAAATAGATTTTGAAATAATTATTATTTCAAGGATAAAATTGAAAGAATAAATTAATCCTACCTTAAAATTGTAAAATGACTAATTTTAAAAAATGGCTAAAGAAAAAAGTTCATAAACAAATGGAGTATCTTATTTTTTTATTACAAGTATTGCAAACTTTTTTATTATACCATTTTAAACTTTATTTATGTACAATAAAAATATAGAAATTAATTTTAAAATAATTATGATCTTAAAGATAAGTTTAGAAAAATGTATTTTAACTTAAAATCGTAAAATCATTATTATTTAAAGAAATAAATAAAAATATTATTTAAAAAGAAAAATATATATTTTAACAGTTACTAGGAAAAAACATGTAATGTTCTATTATATTATATATAAAGTTTTTGTTTAGTTACATTGTAAACAGATCTGGTGGTGTCATTTCATTTAAAAATTATTGTAAGGTCCATTTAATTAATACCTGCACCAAAAGAAAAAAATTTATAAATGTTAAAAGGTATATATATATATATATATATAAATTACAATATTTATAAATATAATTCACTTTAAATTAATTATTACCATACAC